AAGGTAATAATCGTTTGCTGATTGGTAACATCTGTTCATCAACAGAAATAGTCCTGATATAGAACATAGAATCGTGTGTTTAACAGTATTTACATCAAAATTACATAAAATTGTTGCGTGATACATAGTAGAGAAATAAAATTTTTTGATAATAGAATACCTGGAATTTTTGTTTCCTTAATTGAATTAAAAACTGTCATGAAACTTAATAATTTATCATGAATGTACTTAACTTTGATATTAATATTTAACTAATAATATTACAGCTGGATGATTTTGATTAAATCATAAAGTATTTGTCTATTTTAGGAATTATGCTAGAATCGAGATTGCATCATACGAGCAGACAAAACAATAAAATTGACGAATTTTTCTCCAGAATATAGAATAACATCATATAGATATTTTATTTTTCGAACAATATTATATAGTTTTTACAGTTCGTTTGAAGTTTCGATTACAATTTTAACAACACGAAAAAAAATTACCAATAGTTTTGAAACTTGTGTTGCTATTTTTAATAAATATTTTACTTATTCAAATTCGGCACCAGATCGACATGATGTGGCATCAAGTGGATGAACTCGATGGTGATCGTTACAACACCATCCTGCCAACGCTTCATATGTTTTCATTATAAAATGTCTCACCTGTCGACGATATCGTGATGATGTTAACAAAAATATATAAAAATTTATCTAAACAAAAAAGTATTCATAATCACAAGTCTTCTTCAAAAACTATGAATAAACACTTACTGCATGGCTCAAATAGGCTAATACAAGAACAACTGCTTGTATCCATCGATCGATTGCATATGCGATTGTATTTCCTTTAGGAATGTTCATATTAAGTGAATAGATTCGATAGATAGTAAAAGGTAGTTGTAGTATCACATAAAATATTACTCGAACAAAGATAATTGCTGTTAATTGTTGATCAAGTCGTCGACGATTAATAGGAATTTGACGTCGAACTATATGACGAACATTTCGATATGCTAATATGCTAAATAATGATGATACACATATTGGAAATAAACCATTAATAATTGGATAAAATGCATAAGAGTAATAGTTTATCAAACCAATGCTAGATACAATACAGCCAAATATAGGAGAAATTTGTAGAAAAACTGCAGCTGGTATAGTATGAAGAAGGCAGAAACCAGTAGCAAAGTAAACTTGATACCGAGCTATTGTTAATGAACTTAATTGTCGTAGATAAGGTCGATGATGGGTTGAAAGAAACTGGTCAATAGCTGCGAAACATACTATTGCAGATAACATAAGTCGATACCATTGTGGGAAAATGCTTCTTAATTTACACCAAGTAAGTGAGACAGTAGTTGGATCATTTCCGTTGAGAAATAGTGCCCAAATTGTATTGGCAAAGTTTTGAGTAAGTTGTCCAATGTCAAAAATAGACTCGGCAACCAAATAAAAAGCACAACGATTCTGATGAAAAATCTTCGTGTTAGTAAAAACAAGGATGTTGAAAATATTTCCAATGAGACCAATAGCGAATTCTATGTATGTGGAATAGCTGGAAAATAACTGTGCATTTAGGATAAGTGTAGAAACGTAAGATGAGTTTGACATCGACATTAAATTTATATAATATTAATAAGTAGCAATAAAGAAAAGTACGCGCATGCTTTATTTTATCCTTACTCTTTATGTTTAAGCCGCTTCCTTTGTCACTAGTAATGAAACAGATCGTTTATATAATTGTTTAAACAGCCTGGCAGGAAAAAAATAAAGGAATATGTCAGGTTGTGAAATAATTAAAAAATAAGATAAATAATCTCTGACAGAAGCACGCAAATTTAAGAATGTCTGATAAAAAAAGACAACGTAAATGTGCAGTGACTGACAAATCTATAGAATAATAAACATGAAAGTATTAGCATTTTATAAATTATTTTTTAACAAAAATAAAAGAGATATTATCATTGGATATAAAAATGCGTCGCTGGATTTTATAATCCTATAAAATTATATATCTTTATTAATTACTTGCTACTAAAGATACATGTAAGCCGCTGTAGACATACAATAAATTGACATAGATTAAAATTCAACGATGATCTATACTTCATTATTAATGTTAAATATTTTCTATCGAGGTTTATGAAAAATGTATATAAGTGGAACCATGAATTTTTACTGAATGTTAATCTAGGGTACACTTCAGAGCTGACTACGTGACAAAACAGAGCTTTCAACCTACTGTTCATAAGGGCAAATTATGATGGGAAACGAAGTAGAACAGACATAATTTTCAAAAAGTCATACCTTTAATGACAGGAAGTTTTCTTTCCTGAATAATTAATCTAAATAAAATATTTCATCTTCTATGAAAACTTCTTAACTTCACTCATCAAAATATCTTTCCAAACTTGTACAAAAAACCAATTATATATCGTATACGTTTTATTTTAAGAGACAATATTTTATATCCGATGGGTTGAAATGTAAGTATAGACAACTAAAGCTAATGAAATTAAAACGTTCCTAATATATACATTAAAATAGCTTTGAACAATATGAAAACGACGTTCCTTATCTTCTAAAAAAAGAATATCTCTTTCATTATTTACTTGCCATAAGACATATTTATCAAATAAATATTCCAAAATACTTCCTATTAGATAGACAAAAAACGTTCAATTTGAAGATTTTGAACAACTCATTACATCATTCGATTTGTTTTAAATCAGAACTAATATATAGGGTTAAAATTTTCAGATCTTGTTGTCATAATAATAATATTATAATAAATGTAATCAACGCCGGCTAATGTACTTACTGGCTTTTTAAAATCCTATTATAGTAAGACGATAATTAAAAAGTGTATGACGTCCTCATCGCTAGACATGATTTCTTTTCGTGTTTAAATATATTAATAATAGATTCTGCCGTCGGATGTTCGGAAATTATTAAAAGCATTGATTCACTGATGTCTTATTTTTTGCTAGGAAACTTGTAATATTTAATAAGAATAAATAAATTGTATAGAAGTTATAAATCACGTTTCAGTTTGCATCTTTTACCTTTCAATCTTCAAGTATGAAAGGATTTAAAATGTATCATAATTCATGATATTATTCACTTTTTTATTATAGAAAACAGATGTTTTGTGTAAACTTTTTCTTAAGGATAAGAATCTCCGAAGAAAACATCTGGAAATGAATATTTCAATGATAATCAATTGTGCAAACATATAGTTCTCATGATATTTTTTGTTTTATATACTGAGACTGAGAAGATTTAAATGAATTGAGAGCATTTTCCTTGAATTACATTCTTCAAAATATAAGAAAAGTTTTTAATAACAATCTTCAACTAATAATTCATTAGAAGAGAATAATAATTTAATATAAATCATGAATTCTCTTTCAGGTATCTCACTGAGAATGGTTAATAGCATATAAGCGATATCTTATTTACATACTTGAAGAAAATTATTTTTCTATATGATAAAAGTATACTTGATAAATAATTACTGCTTTTTATATAAGTATAATGTGCACTATATAAATAAAATAGATAGTTGAGAAGTTTTTCTTTCTCTAATTATCATGAATGTTCTCTAGTTCTAGTATGATACGAGATTGAAATGATGTGATATCAAGTGGATGAACTGTGTTATGATGTTGACAACACCATCTTGCCAACGCTTCACATTTTTTCATTATAAAATTTTTCACTTGTCGGCGATATCGCGCCGACGTTAATAAAAATATATAAAAATTTATCTAAATAAAAAAGAATTCATAATCACAAGTCTTGTTCAAAAACCATTAATAAACACTTACTGCATAGTCCAAATAGATCAATACAAGAACAATTTGTTGCATCCATTGATCGATTGCATATGCGATTGTGTTTTCATTAGCAATAGTTACATTAAGTGAATAGATTCGATAGATAGTAAAAGGTAGTTGCAATATCACATAAAATATTACTCGAACAAAGATAATTGCTGTTAATTGTTGATCAAGTCGTCGACGGTTGATAGGAATTTGACGTCGAACTATATGACGAACATTTCGATATGCTAATATACTAAATAATGATGATACACATATTGGAAATAAACCACTGATAATCGGATAAAATACAAAAGAATAATAGTTTATCAAACCATTATTAGATACAATACAACCAAATAGAGGGGAGATTTGTAGAAAAACTGCAGCTGGTATAGTATGAAGAAGACAGAGACCAATAGCAAAATAAACTTGATACCGAGCTATTGTTAATGAACTAAGTTGTCGTAGATAAAGTCGAGGATTAGTTGAAAGAAATTGATCGATAGCTGCGAAACATATTATCGCAGTTAACGTAAGTCGATACCATTGTGGTAAAATAGTTCTCAGTTTACACCAAGTGAGTGAGACAGTTTGTGGATCAGTTCCGTTTAGAAATAGTGTCCAAATTGTATTGGCAAAATTTTGAGTAAGTTGTGCAATATTGAAAATAGACTCGGCAACCAAATAAAAAGCACAACGATTCTGATGAAAAATCTTCGTGTTAGTAAAAACAAGGATGTTGAAAATATTTCCAATGAGACCGATAGAGAATTCTATGTATGTGGAATAATTGTAAAATATTCTTGAGGCAGCAACAATATTGGAAATATCAGTTGAATTTGACATTCACGTAGAATCTTATGTGATAATATTCAAGAATTGTCGCTGTTAGTTTTTTAAGTCTTTATTGTGTTTCAATAAAATTCTACTTTCCTTCTTTTCTAATGACTTTACGCATACATTTGTTTAATTTGACAGCGCTCATTAAAAAGTAAAAAAAATATAAGCGGTTCATCTCAGTAACTGATCTTTCAAGATATAAAATTACGTCTGAGTGTATTAAGTAGACAAAAAAAGCTATTAATCTATACGTTGATAAAATCATATACTGTTAGTAAGGAATAACGATGAATATGTAATTTGATAGGAAATACGCTTGGTAGATCCATCATCAAGTAGTTTATTTATAATATATAATTGAAAACACAAAACTTGACATAATGTTCGAGCTATCATGACAAGTCTGATCTTAATTCTTCAAACATTTATGGAATTAATCGTAGAACAAAATTATATTATAACTTTTATCAACCGAAACAAAATATTATTCGTTTACAAAATAATTTAATCAATTATAAACAAGCATATACTGATATGTACCTATATGCCCATAAAATGCAAAAAAAACTGGAATATGAAAACGTTGATTGAACAGCAGAAGTGCTTTGTACTTCTTTCGTTTGATTTAATATCGATCACATGACGTACTTTACTTGTCTTATGTTCATTACTAATAATTTTTATCCTTGATTTATGTTGGTTGTTAAGTACATAAGATGAGAGATCATCTCGAATATCTTATTGATAAATATATGTCGAAATTTGAGAACTCTATGTTCATTATGACAAAAAAGAAGTACATATCAGTTCTTTTTACTTATTATCGTTGTACATTATGCAACCAACATATTTGTATACATCCGATTTTGATCGAGAAATACAATGGCGTTCAAAATTTTCTATGGGCATACCGATTTTACTCGGACTTTTACAAATGATATTAACATTTATTATAATTGCACTTGAAATAGCATCTGTTGTTATATCACCAATATTTGGAACACTTTATGCAGGATTTTGGTTATCAGTTATATTTACTCTATCATGGATATCTATGCTTGGATTAGGTAAATGAAAAATATATATAATTTATATTATATTGATTGATTTTTATTTCGTAGCTTGTTGCCATCGTGCTCGTAAATGGGCAACATTTGTGTTTTTAATATCACTACTTTGTGCTGCAGCTGCTATAGCTCTCATTGTTTTGGATGCATTCTTTATTGGAAATATAAGTCGATGTTTTTTTTCAAAAGTAAATTGTGATGAATTAATATCATCATATCCTCGATTATTTAGTCAACCACTTGGAAGAAAAGTTCAAGTTTTAAAAGCTCAATTAGCATGTGCAGCATTATTGCTAGCAACAGCTATTTTATATATACTTTATTATATTTCTGTAAGTATGTCTGCTCGTCGAGGTGCGAATCGTGTACTTATTGAACATCATCAATTACCAGTACAACTTGTTCGACATACCAATACGCATTCACCACAACAACCAAAAATAATATCGGCGCCTCCTATTTATGATCCAAGTCAAGTTGAATGTCCACATTGTGGAACATTTATTAAATTAGCACAAAAAACACGATATACATATACTTAAATCGAAGAATTAAACAGTATAAAATTAAAACATAAACATTCTTTGTTTCTTTTTCTAGATTTAGAATTTTGTTGGGTTTTGCTTATCAAAGTTTCTTTTTTTTGAAAAGAAGAAAAATATTCACTGAAGATTTCAGAAAATCATCAATAAAAATAAATATTACGTACATGATTACTTATTCAAATGTTTAAAAAAATTTTCAATACGTTATCGAGAAATAGAATTTGCTAGGTTTAATAATTTTAGACCTGGATTGAAGTTTAATGATTTAAGTTATTACAAATATTTCTCTTCACTTAATTTTCTTCCATTTATTTCAAATATAAATATATTCTTGTAATTTTTAGCAATGATTAAATAAACTTTATATTTACGTAATCTCAATAGTGCTAATATTTTCGAAAAACGCATACATTTAGTTTAGAGGAACTTCTGAAGATATTTTTGTTACAACGACAGATGAAATAAATCTTACACATATTATAGGTCATTTATCTATAATTTAAATTAAAGGGATCAACAAATTTTACTTAGAAAATATCATAGTTGTCTTGAACACTTCATCAATAATGAGTGAATGAATATCAATATTGAATCTTTAATCTTTAATCTATTAATGGTTTTATAATAGATTAAAAAAAGTGAAGGAAGAAAGTTAGTGATGTCGAACAATCGACGCAGCTTGATCTGTAAAGAAGCTTAGTATAATACTATACGAAAACTATGTGATATTTCCTTATAAAAATTTTTTCTAAATAAACTCTAATTTCATGTATCCATAGATCAAGAAAGTAAAAGTATTTTTCAATAAATCAAGTTCTACAGCAACGAGAAATTCTTTAAAAGAGTATTTATCTAAAATATATAAGATATAATTACGCGAGATTTCACTTAAATCGATTATAAATAAATTAATATCTGTTTATAATTATTTGTAATGCTAGTGTTAATGTTAGAATGTAACAAAGATTACAGACCTAACACATTTTTTATTAAATAATCATCCTCATCAAACTGATGGTAAACAAGCTGAAATTTATCGATGAGTACCAAACAAAGGACTTACAAAAAAGAAATAACGAAGTAAAAAATTCAATTTTTTTTATGATTAAAGATAGATTGAACTGATCAGATTTAGAAATGTCTTTTCATGAATATGGGGCAATCGATTAAACAGCCGTAAATAAAGAAAGGAGAATTTTTGTCAAATTCTATTTATTTCAATATAGTTATAATTCAGTGAATAAAACTTTAATAGATTATGTCACATACAGTTCTTCGACTTGCAACTAAGCTCAAAATAGGTGATCATTCTTTTTCTATTTTTTTTGAATACTAGATTTATTAAAGGAATATATTTCGTTCAGCTATCAAATACATTATCAAAAATGACTTAATCGATGTATCTAAAGTGTAGTCATGTGTTCATCTTTTTATAGATATTTTATTAACTAAATATTACCCAGAAAAAAATACATTAAACAAGATACAGTTAGGTGAAATCAGAAGTATTTAGCTTTTGTCCAAATTAAGTAACATCATTCCAGCTGTGAGTTTTTTTTTGACCGATCTTTTCTATTCATTTAAATAATTTATTCAGCTTGCATACTATTTACTTATATCTTTTTGAAAAAATATAAATTTGACATACATATCATAAACAAAACCAAAAGTTATATATTTTCACCAAAGATAGGTGTCACATTTTAATGTTGTTAGTAATTGTAACATTATTTTTGATATTAAAGCTCTGTGTTGATGTATCAATATTTTGCTATAAGATAACATACGTTCCGTAGGTGCTGATGTGGCTGCAGCATAAAGACTTTTCATAGCCGCTTGCTGGAACGTTTTATATAGTGAATTTTTAAATAATCAACAGATGTAGTTTCTCAACAACTTCCAAAATAACGAATCTTCTGGTAAAATGTTTAAGTGATGTGTTTTCTTTTAGCGTTGGTATTATAATTAGGGAATGATCCGTTTCGGCTTAGATTGATCACAAACGTTAAGTTAAGAATCACATTTTGTGCGATATATATATTTTGATCATCTTCTATTCATCCAAACTAGATTCAGTTTTATCTTTACGTTTAATGAATTTTCCATCTAGAGTTGATGCAATAAGAAATACTGGAGTTCCACACTAGCTGTAAACTTTTCTTTTTTTAACTATGGTATACAATTCCATACTTGAGTACATGAATAAACCAGCTAATATCGTTGTAAGAGTGATTTTCTTTAACTTATCTTCTCTAATGTTAATAAATTGCAGTGATACTCGGTGCAACAAGTGAAAATGGCACTTAGTCTTGAGTTTGGATAACTTCATTTGTTTCACCAAAGAAAACTAAATAATATGAATTCATTTAACATTGCTAAATCACTTGATTTAATATAGATATTTTTTTCGTTTTCGCCCAATTACTATACATCTACTTATGTCGATTATATCTTCAATATCATTCTTACAATAGAAAGCTGACTAACTCATCAGTGCTTGTTTGCTTTTGAGGTACATGTGTCGGTTTGTTTTATAATGTTTTGTAAATATAACGAGCGATTTTTAAGTTTTTGCCATTTTCGATATTTTAGTAATCTCTTGCTTAATATAAAACACCTTCTGATAGCTATTTTGTACAATCAGTTAAAGTATATCAGCAAAACTTGGTAGTTTTTGGTTTATCAGTAGTAATATCTGATGTTACTTGTGTTGATATATCGATTAGGATTTATGTATTGTCATCAAAATAAATATCATCGTTTATATCGTTTAGATCTTTAATACTAGCATCTTTGTCAAAAAAATATGCTTCAAATCATAATAATAATTTAAATTTAAATGCTTTAACATTATTTGCACCTTTGTCGATTACGATTCTGCATAGTATATTCTGTATTTGAAATTTACATTACTAATGAGGTCATAACATTCGAGTTATTTTTACTATTTATGACTTAGATTTGTATATAAAAATAACATAGAACACCTATATTCTTTGAGTTGTATATCAGTAATTACATGATCTAAATAGAAAAATTACGTAAAAATGTCCAGTACAAGATGAGATCTTTGTCCATGATGCAAAAAAATGGCTAGACTCGTCAACTAGATGCATTCTGTTATTGCGCAATGCGCAATAACTATCTTAATAAATCATTCACATTACGATAAACATTCGAAAATGTATTTTTCCTTAAAGTGCGATAACTAGCAATCTTGAATTTCAAATTAACAGCAAATATCAATTTTATACATTCTAGTTTTTTTTCTATCAGCGATAACTATAACCGAACCTAATTACTAAATTGTCAATAGACGCATCGTGATATTCTTGTTGTCATCATAATGACCGATTAGAAACGGTTGTTTCGAAACGAAATCAAGTAATTTCGGCTGTTCTCAATCTAACTGTATGAGACTCTCAATATAAATGTTTTCTCACTGACTTTATTCTCCGTAGTTTTGACGCAAGCTAAATGAAAACCTAAATGAGAGATTGTGTCTGTTGAGGTAGAAGAGAGTTCATCCTAATTAACATATCTGAATTTGATCGTTGTACTATATCCAGTAATATTCATTATATATATATATAGTAAATGAATAAAATGTAGCCAGTTGGTCATGATCAAAAGATCAAAAGGAAAACAATATAGAGGATCCACGATAATTTAGCTCATATACTTGGCGCCAGCAGATGACGTTAGTTGATGCTAACAAACTCATTCAACTCGTTTAATTATTTTGTAGGTTCAGTTTGATGACAAGTTTTTACATAGAGATTAGCATTAGGTGTAATAGCAATACTATGCTATGTTTTATTTCGTCACATATTAAAAATTTTGCTCACAATGCACTTTTTCTGTTTTTTTATAATATTTGTAAAGAACTTACTATCGGTATTTTTTACAACGCAGGTTTTTAGCTGTTGCTATAGAATTCTATTTTGATGCTGAAGATATTGATACAGTAGAATTTGCATTTCAAGACTCATAGTTATTCATCATAATTATCTAATACAGATACTGTTTCTAATATCAATACTATTGTATATAAACCAGTGGCGGCGGAGTGTGGAGGCTCAAGAGGCTTAAGCCTCACTTAGTTTTCAGCCCTTGAGGCTCAGCCTCACTTATTTTCGGATTGAATATTATCTTTTATTATTAGAATTTGTTATGTTCGACATCTAACATACCTAGATATATATTCTGACGTATCTATCTTTCAATGCGGTTCATCTATTTTTATATGTTTTTCTTTTCTTTTACTTGTATATTTCCCTTGTCTATGTGGTACTCAGGTATTTTTCCTCTTTGCTTACATGTTTTCTTGTCTGCATGTTCAGTTTTTTCTCATTTCGTCTATATGTTTTATTCCCAAAACGTTTGGGTTTTTCAAGCGCATATACATATACACATATATATATATTATTGCCGTAATATTATTACGGCAATAATATATTAGCTCAGTAGTGATTGGATTGATTGATATCCTCTTCACAGTGTATTTAATGGCTGGAAAACGTCCAAACATTCATCCATTTTTCTTTTTGACACATATACAAAGAAAAGTCTGTGTTCAACTTTCGCATCGAAGAACGAACAGAAAAAGTTATTTTTTTGTACGACCTGATTTGTTTTATTTGCACGATGACCGTCATAGTTTTCATTGAGGTCTAATAAAAAGAAGACTCATATTTTGCTTCATATTTTAATAAAAGTCCACAGTAGAAAAAAATATTGTGAGCCTCACTTAGATTAATGACGCTCCGCCGCCCCTGATATAAACAAAGTGCAGTGTTTATATATTATTTAAAGGGTCAACAGGGGTGGCGCGACCGGGAGTGCTAAGGATGGAACACCCCTCTCTCAATCTTTCGAAATTTGTATGTTTTGCTCAACAAAATCGGCAAATCTTCTTGCATTTTTACCTAAAATAATGCTACACACTCAAAAAAATGCAAAATTCATCCTTTTTACTCCAAAACATTTTGCTAATCCCTCCTCCCAATGTTGACTTTCTCGAGCCACCCCTGTGAGGGAGAAATTATCACACCCATATCCATCCTCTTGATACTTATATAAATCAAGAGCAAATTGATTCATTTAAAGATGATTGTTTATTAAAAGATAAGAGCAAACCAATACATTTATTCCAGCATTTACTTCATGTAGTGGAAATAGAAATAAAGCTGAACAATTTGGTAATGTTTTATTTATTATGATAGTAACACATGCTTTTACAACTGATCTCAAACCATTTTCTGAATATTCCGATGAAGAAGAAGAATTACTTTCTCCAATTTCTCCTGGTGTTTGTTTTACTGTTCATTATATGAAAAATAAGCAAAATAAACAAATTATACATTTAGCACTTTTACAACAACAATGTCGTAAATAGAACAAAAATGTCTATTTATAATCTAATCGAATTTACCTATACTTATTCGATCATTTTCCCTTTATAAATTATCAGTAGAATTGAAATATTTATTTTAGGATTTGAAAAACAACGAACAAGTGATGATGTTGATCATTTTGGTAATTCTCTTTATAATGATCTTCACAATAATACTGATCGTATTGGTTTTACTCGTGATTGGAAAAATTAAAAATTAATTAAAATAAAACTTTCTCTATTAATCTTTTATAATAGATTTTTTATTAATACTTTCTTTACTTCAATCATATACTGAAATATAATATGGAGCAGGTAAACATGATTGACAATTTCCTTCATATTTAATTGGTTTTTGGTCTGAATCAATATATTGTAATAATGTTATTAAAGTTTCAAGACCTTTTTTTTATTAGAATAACTATTGATTTAATTATTGGATCAAACAAATATTTAACAATATCCTAAAAAAAAAGGAAGGATATGTATCTCCTTCTCAATTACACCCACTCACTCATTTAGTAATGTATAGACGTTGTTGACTGTATTTCACCGATCGTTTTTTTTCTTATTTAACCTGATGAAAAAAAAAGATATAAGAAAAAAAACCTTAACAAAATGTTTTTACATTCTAAATATAATAGAATTATACAAGCAAGAAACGTAAATTTGAAATTTTCTTCTTCGAACTCCTTCTTAAGTTACATATAAAAAACTTTTTTTCTGAACGATTGATTAAAAAACTCAACTGTAGATACTATCACTTGTTGATGTTGTGTGATTCATAACCAAATAAATATGAAACTTCTACTGCCATATACGTTTTAATGTCGATCATGTATTCGTTTTTTCCATACGCGTACACATTATAAATCAATTATGTCGGAAAAGTTTACGAATGATATTGCTGAAAAACTGTGGAAAAATGAACACTCATCATTACCAATAATAGAATCAAAATTGTCGAATGAACCAATAAATTTGGATATAAAACTTATCGAATTATGTTCACAAATACCAAAACCAGAAATTATTAACGAAGAAAAAGATCCAGATATTAATATTCTTTGGTTAAAAAATAAAAATGAGAAGATATTAAACGAATTAGATATAGAAATATTTTATTCAAAGGATGAATTCGATGCTTTTATTACTAAATTACAAACAAATAATATATTCTTAATCATTGATCAATCTATGTTAAAACATATTCTTCCATTTTTGGATGATTTAACACAAATTATCTTTATTTATATCTCAATCGATACCGAAATTGATGATCTTATTCCAACAATTGATACAAAAAAAACATTTCGAAAAGTTTCAAGTAATAAAGAAGAAATTTTCCATTCAATACGTGAAGATATTCGTATATATGCCAAAGATTCTATATTTACAACTATATTTGATCTTATTGTTGAAGAAGAATCAACAAATCAAACAAATAATGCATCATTTATTTGGTATAATTTATTAATTAATAGTCTTTTTGATTTAGGTGCATATCATGAAACAGCTAAAAATGATTTAGTAAATTATTGTCGAGAACAATATTTAAATAATATTTCCCAACAAAACAAGATTACAGAATTTGAAAAAGAATATTTATCAACAGATGCAATTCGATGGTATACACGTGATTCATTTATTTATCGTCTTTTAAATAAAGCACTTCGTACTCGAGATATTGACTCAATATTTAAATTTCGTTTTTTTATTATTGATCTTCAAAATCAACTTGAATCATTCTATAATGAAAAAATTATGGAATCAAATATATTTGTATATCGTGGTCAAGAAATATCAAATATAGAATTCAAAAAATTGGAAAAAAGTATTGGAAAATTTATATCAGTTTATACATATTTTTCAGCATCGATAGACAAAAAAGTTGCTTTAGATTATGCTCAACATTCATCAGCTATTTTATTTGAAATCGATATGAAAAATGTCATCTCAATGAAAAATAAACGTATCCGTCCGGTTTATGTTGGAGATAAAAGTTATATTCCTGATGAACTTGAAGTTATTTTTCCAATTGGTTCAACATTTGAAGTTGATTTCATTGATAAAGAAAATATACCATATCGTGTTCGATTAACATTAGCTGAAGATAAAAATTATGAACGTATATTTAATATATTTCAAAAAAATTATGTTATTAAACCTCCATCAACTGTTCTGTTTGCTGATTTATTTATATCAATGGGTGAATATGATAAAGCAGAACGATATCTTCAAATATTATTAGAAGAATTACAGAAATCAGATGATAAAGTATATGTTTATCATTCTATGGGAAAAATTTATTACGAAAAAGACGATTATAATTGTGCATTAGATTGGTTTAATAAAGCATTGGATTTCATTAAAGAGAAAAATATTTTTTGCGCTACAATATATCTTTATATAGCAAAATCATACAGAGCTCAGAATGAATACAATGCAGCTCTGGAATATTGTCATAAAGTATTGGATGATCAAAATGAAATGGATTGGTCAGATTTAGCTGATTTATATGATGAATTTGGTACTATTTATAGTTTCATGAATAATTTCAATAAAGCTCTTGAATATTTGACTCAATCATTAAGCATAAGACAATCAAATAAAGCTAATTATCGTGATTATATCTCAACATATATCTCTTTGGTTATATTATATTTTAAAAAATCAGATTATCATGAAGTTCAGAAGTATTTGAAAGAGATATTACATATTTTATTAAATACGATGCCAAAAACTCATCCAGATGTTATTTCTACATATACACTTATCGGAACAACGTATCAACCATGTGGAGATAATCAATCAGCAGCTATTTATTGTCAAAAAGCTTTAGATTTAGTTGAAAACCTTTCAAAAAAAGAAATAATCAGCCCAGCAACATATTTAGTTCTTTATACTACACTTGCAATTCTTAGTGAATGTATAAATGATCAATTATTTTATGTTCATATAGCATTCGATATTTATATAAAGTTTAAAAATATAATACCGGAAACGAATCCAGTGGTGTCTAATTTATACAATCAAATGGGAATAACTTATTATCACTTATATGATTTCAATTTTGCATTATATTATTTCCATCATGCTTTGGACCTCAATGTTAATAATGAAAATAGATGCTCAATACTTCTCAATATCGCCACAACCTATATTAATAAAAGTGATAGCAAAAGTGCTTTGGACTATTTAAATAAATCATACCAAATTAGTTTAGAATTAAATCACAGAGATACAGGCGAAATCTATTCACAATATTCTCGTGCATATGAACTTGAGAATAATCTTGAAAAAGCAATATTTTACTCTGAAGAAGGATTACGATTCAATGAAATTAATAATAATATCGATGCTCTTGCAAATAATTATCTAGATTTAGCAAAGTTATGTCCTGATAAAAAGAGTACTTATATGGAAAAATTTAAAGAAATTGTCCAAAAAAATGATTTATCTTCAAGTATAACACATGTTTTTCATCTGATTCTTGGATATTATTTCAAAGAACAAAATGATTTTGTAAATGCGCTTGAATATTATCAATTGTATTTAAAATCTGAATTAACAATTATTCCACCGTGTTATTGTAATTTAATAATTATATATGCAGATATTGGATTTATTTATCAAAAAATGAAAGATAACGATAATGCTTTGGATTATCTTATAAAAAGTTGTGAAATGTATTTGAAATTATCGAATTTAAAACGATTACCATATAAAGATCAGAAGATTATGCTTTCTAGTGAAAAATATTTAATAAAAAATGTTCAGGAATGTTCTGCCATAACTTCAAGAATTCTTATAGTTTATTATTATATTGGAAAAATTTATATTGAAAGAAATAAGAATGAGTTAGTATTAAAATACATTCAACAAGCACATGAAATATTCCAAAATTATCAAGGAAGAAACGATCTTAGTAATTCGCAACAACTTTATTATTTATTAGGATCAATATATAAATCTATTGGTAAGATTGATCAAGCTCTTTATTATTATGAAAAAAGTGTTCAATCATTGACAATGGATTATTGTCTTCATGGTTTTATTTCTTATTTAATTGGATCAGTTTATCAAGAGCAAGGAAATTATTTAATGTCGTTATCAAAATATAAAATATCTTTAACATTTCTATATAATTATCAATGTATTAATCAGACTCATTTATGTTTAGTTAATGCTTCTGTAGCTTCATTATATTCAGAGATGAAAAACTATCAATATGCTTTAAATTATTCTGAACAAGCGTTAAAACATTGTTTACTTATGAATCCAATTGTTTATGATAGTGTTATGACGTGCTATAAAGCTTCAATAGATTATCTGACGGAATTAAGACCATGGGATCATAAAAAAGAATTAAATTCTATTTTACGACTTAAAGAACTCACTCAATATTCATTAAAAGATCATTCATTACAAGATTTGTATTATTCGATTGGTTCCTGTTATTTTAAAAATGGAGAATATGAACAAGCTCTTGTCTATTGCTATAAATCACTTAAATATTCAGATATGAACATGTTTACTATCGATGTAACATATGCAGTTTGTATGGCAGTCGGAGAACTAGATAAAGCATATAATCTTATTAAAGAGACAATAGATAGAAAATTAAATATGAAAACTATTGATTGGAACAATCTTTCACTATTATATATTTATATGGGTATCATTCATTATGAACGTGGAGAATATAAATTAGCTGTAGAATTTTATCAAAACGCTTTCAATTATCTTGATACATATCAAAATAATAAAAGACATTCATCTTATAGTCGAATTTATAATCAAATTGCACTAATATATTTCCAAGACGGAAAACTTAACGATGCGAAAATATATGCTGAAAAATGTCGAGATATAATTTATTCTTTAGATGATAAAAATATTGCACCTATAAATATTAATATTACTTTAGGATTAATTGAATGTCAATCAGAAAATTATTATCTTGCTTTAGATTATTTCGGACAAGCATGGGAATTAATATACAATCGACATCTTGATTATCATCCGGAAAGAAAAATTCTATATAATCATATTGGTTATGTATATTTTAAACTTGGTCATATAAGTCTAGCTATGAAGAATTATCTGAAAACATTATCTTTATATCATAAATTTATGAATCATCATGATCTTGCACAAGTTTATAAAAACATTGGTTTAATATATGAATATGAATATGAAAATTATTCATTAGCATTAATATTTTATCAACGTGCTTTAGAACTTGTTCCGACTAAGCAACATCCACATTATATGTTATATAAAAATATGATTCGAACATTGAAAAAGAAAACTTCTAGAAAATATATTTGCCCATTAATGTAATAAAAGATATTTTCTTGCGGTATGACATATATCTGACTCATTAAAATCTTGTTTTTCTCTCGTTCTTACGCAATTTTCTTGTTTTATGACCATACATGTAAACGTGATCTAGCGTCATTTATGTTGACTTTTCTTTCGAAATTACTTCTATTTAATCAATTTCGAATTGAATGTATTGAGTAAAAAAACTTTTTCTTCGTTTATCAGAACAATATATTATTGCGAAAAATATTCCTATCACAATGTCGATGATAAATATTAACCGGAAAATCGAAGATTCCCATAATCGTTATCGAATGCCAAAACTTGAAATCAGGGTAGATAAATAGAATATTTTGAGTTGTTTGAAAAGCAATCTTTGTTAAATTTTTAGGCGACTGGATCAGGAAACTATACAACGCAAACAATTTTGGTAAATCTAAAAGAAGTTGCCAAAGCTTTATACCGTTCACCATTGTGTAAGGATTAATTTTATATTTGAATAAGAATAGATAATCAATACGTATTTTAGATATAATAAAATATTTTGCTTATGAATTAAGTACAAGTATACATGTTAAATCAGATCTATATATTATCAAAGGAGTTTATAGCCAAGAGAAATTTCAAGATTTATTAGATGGTTTTATAAAACAATTTGTGCTTTGTCGATATTGCGAAAATCCCGAAACAGAATTGGTAAATTAATTTAAATATTAATCAAGAATAATTTTATTATTTTAGAATAAGACTGATAATGATGAAATTACTCAAACATGTTGTGCTTGTGGTAAAACCAAGAGAATTGGAATAGACTCTCATAGATTAGTTAAATTTATTTTAAGAAATTGGTCGGAAAATGATAAATACACGAATAAATATGATCCAATCACAAATCAAATTTTTGAAGATGAACAAATCAACGATGATGATTTGACTTCATCTACGATAGATTATGAACAATTTATTTCTTTAATTCAAGTTTGTTCATTATTGAATCAAATAAATTTAATTTTGTATCTATTTATATTTTTAGAAGAAGAACTTAAATGATTCAAATTCAATTGACGAATTAATAAATGAAGCAAAAAAACTGAACATGATTGATAAACTTCCATTTGATATTGCAAAAGATTTATTTACTGATGATATTCTAGAAGAAATTGATACATATGAAATGTTATTTCATCAATTATGTCAAAATAATAATGAAGGACAAGAGTCTCTCTTAAATGGTATTGAAGTCATCATCAATAGAAATCGTGAAAAATTACTAAATAATAAAAGAATTTCAAAAATATTCTATAAACTTTACGATAAAAATATTATAACTGAAGAAACATTCTTAAATTGGTACGAAAAGGTAAATAAAATATAAATATTTGAAATTAATTTCAATTATTATGGATTAGGAATCAAAACAACTTATTCAAAAACAGGTTGAAATAGATATTTATGAATATGCAAAAGAATTTATCGAATGGTTACGTACAGCTGATGAAGAACTTTCATAAACGTTTTATTTCATAGTTGATAAAAATTTTCTCGCAGTTTCAAATATATCATTCATTGTTGCATAACAACCTTCTTGAAACGCATCAAATAAGGATTGAAATAATTATTCAAAAAAAGAATCTTACTCTATCTGGTGCATAAGGTTTCTGGTAAATCTTTTCTATCTTGTTTATTTAAATTCATTGAATGATATGAATTAAAACCTCAAGTATATTTATTATTAAACCAATGACTTTTAAAATTCGAATTGGTTTATGTTTATCCTGATCGATATGTAAATAATAACAAAGAATTTTATGACAAATTTCGTCACTAAGATTTGCAATGAATAAAGTTGAACGATCAGCGAACCAAAGAATTCAAACAGAATAATTAGTAGATGGAAAGACTTCATAATAAGATATTGAATGAACAATTTCTACAAATATATTTTCATCAATTTTTTTCTTGTAAAATCTTTGATATGCGATTAAATTGTTTGTGGGTGTGGATATGGTTAGGTGTCAGTAGAAGTGTGGATGAGGAAGAGACATTCATACGCACATCCACACCCATCCTAGACACCCTGATATCGTCTCGTTTAACCCTTCGTGGATGTTCTCATTTTTTAACTTCGTGGTCCATCTGGACCCGCTCATGAAAGTTCATCAAAAAACAAATTTCTAGGGTCACAAAAGCTTTTCATTTGTATATTGTAAACATATAGATGCTTCAGTTTTATTACGATATAAACGCATTTCGTGTTAAGCACTGTATGAGAGCTCCGTAGTATAAATAAGGATTGAACAGAATCTTTTGAAAATGATACTGACATAAGCTGAAAATGACAGACGTCATGCTCTTTTTACTAAATGTTGAGTCATTATTACAAGTAGTGATGATAAAAACAAATCGAAACAAATCGTTAGAGAGGAAACAACGCTGCGAGAGAATAAATAGCAACAATATCACCATATCAAATAAGATTATAGCACCATAGTTGTTATAGGGCCCACAAGGACCAGTAGCTGTATTTTTTCTCCGTTAGACCTACTCATGATTTCTCATATGGATAGTGTGTACCAACAAAAGACTAGAGATTAGATGTGAGAACCGATCGAAAACAGAAACTCTTAAGAGAGAATTTAGTGAAAAGCTGCGAAGTGGATCCTCTTGGACCCCACAATATCAACAGAGGGCTAATCGAAAGGTGAAGGGGAAGATCTAAAATAGTTAACAAAACTGATCACGAAATTTTCAAAGAGTTCCTATAATGACACGTACATGAGGATGTTCATTAAATGAATTCATTCAAAAACAAATATCCTATCGAATTAAAAAGCTATACAATTAAACTAATAATTATTGTTCATAGCTAAACATATTCATTCTGAAGATATGTTTCATAGCAATTGGAAAACCGATCATATAGTGTTGGAATATAATTTTAAAAATAAATTGATTGAGTAAACTCATTTGACTTCATTTAGTTTTTTTTCAGAGGTATACATCAAGTTAAAATAAAAAAATATTACTGACAGTAAGATAAGTTTCGACATGATGTCATTAACATAATTTAAAGTGATAATAAATGTTGAAATTAAAACATTGCAAAACAACTTTTTATCGATTCATTTTACATAGAAGTATCCAGATTGAAAATAAATAATATTTAGCATCAAATAATATAGAACATTTACTTGTTTGCTTTTAATTGAATCAATTATATTTTTCATGCTTTTTATAAAATATATTGATGACAATAGACTTTTTAATTACTTCTTCTGGTTTATTTTAATAGGATGACAAATTACAACGTTATTTGTCTAGAAGTAAACAAAGGCAATAAATGTAATTATACTACATTATTTTTTAATAGTACACATTATTTCAAATGCAATAATTGACATGTATGACTAAGCATTTGTATGCATGTTATTTATCATCGACAGGAATCAATATTTCCTTAGGCAGTTTGTATGTCATTTTATTATGGATGTGACAGTCACATCCTTATTAAATTGTTGATGAATGGGTTACCAAAAACTACAAAAACCGATTATTAATTGGTAATGAGAATGAAGTGAAAACGTTTGTCTTCTTTATAAGATACTCTGATTCTTAAAACTCAGAATAGATGTCGAGTCATGAACACGTATATGACAAACGTTCTCGGTAACATACAAAGAGTATTAAAATAAACATAAAATCTTTGATAAAACGGAAGTTTGTCCTTTTCATAATCATTATTATCGTTACAAATCGACTCGTCTATAAGTATTCAAATGAAGTAATTGTTCTAAGTACTTTAATGAATATGATACATATAAAACTTTATTTGTATATTCAGCTGACTTGTTGATGATTTCGTAAATAATGAAAAACATTTGATTTTCTTCGATAGATTTCATTATCAAAATTCTCAGAAAAATAATACTTCAGTTGTTTTAGAATGTACTTTTTACGCCTTCTTTCTTAGCTCTATTCAAATAATATTGATATTGATTTCGTCCCATCGAGCTACCTTAAGAATGTGTAAGTATCAATCACCGATAGGTTACCGTCTATATCCATTCATATCAATGAGAAATAAATCACATAGTATAAAAATCATTATCATTTATCAAATCGTTCTGTTTTATGTCCATTTTCTTTTGTTATACACGTGGCCTATAAACGAATCCTATGGTAGGTAAAAAAAATATATATTTTTTTTTTATCTATTTCAATCGTATCACCATCATAATACACGTTATTGATGAAAGAACAATCTTCACTATTTTGATCAAAAGAAAAAAGCAATATGACATCACCATTTATTATTTTTGGTACTGTTTTTATCATAGTTGCCATCGTAGTTTGTACACTTCTACTCTTAGTAAGTGATAAACTAATAATTAAAAATCTAATTTAATATAATAATTATTTTTTGTAGGGCTTTTGTCTTTGGCCATTAATTCAAGAACATCGTAGAGAAAAACAATCACAAAAACCAATTACAGAATATGCTTATAATAATACTGGATATGACTAATTATACTTTTTTTAAACAGATTCTCAATTTAACTAGTCGAAAGAAGAAGAAAAGATTTGATATACTTGATTAAAAACTTTTAAATTTTATTTTTTTCAAACAAACGAAAAAAAAATATTAATCAAAAAGACAAACAAATATCTTACAAGTAACATGCGAATACTCAGTCATGATGACATATTTTATACAATCACAGTTAATTAGATTTCTTGTTTTTTCTTTCTCTGTTTTATTAATACTGAAAAATGTAATAAAACAAGTTTATAAAGGACGATTAGAAGTTGTTGTATGAGATAAATTAGATGATAAACCATATGGATTATGCATTGCAAAATGTGGCCAATCTTGTTCCGACAAACGACGAACTTGTAATTCAGGTTGAGACGATATGGTTCGAACAGATATTCGTTGATGATCATCAATTGATGAATCTAATGATTCAGCATAGGGTCCATCAAATGCTAAAGATGATAATGATGGACGTAAATAATGATCTTGTTCACGAGCAAGAATATCAATTCGTCGTGTTGGACGATTAGAAATTTTATGATGATACTGATTTGTTGTTCTATTTAGAAGAAAAAAAGTTTTTTCATAATATAAAAATTCATTTAATATCTTACCGTTTTCGAAAACATATATAACAAATCAAACATAAAATTAACCATGTAGTTAATATAGCAATAATAATGATTAAAATAACCCACCAATCAAGCTAAATGAAAATATGTTTTTTTTTAGAAAGAAAATGACGAATTTTACCCCATAGAACGGACCACCAGATCGATAATCAAATGGAAAATATGATAATTGATCTTTATTTATGGAGATTTCATTACTACTTTTTGGTATATAACGTATATAAACTAATGTTTCTAAACCAGTTTCATTAAATATTTGTGAATAAATATTTTCCGATGGTTGAGAATAATCTCCAATATCATCAGAATATAAACCAATTAAATAATCAATTCGTAATTGTTCATCACTAAAAATATTATACATCGAATTATGAAATATATGAAGAAGATAGTTCATTCTGTCGACGAAATCAATCTCTAATAGATACTCTCTTAAAAACGTTTATTCATATTAAAATCTCATCATTTTCATCGTCTGCTAAATATCAACTTCACTCAATGTTGATTTGGGATTCCGGATCTTCGCCAATACACTCCCTAATGTTCGTTATCACTAGAATATTCGCTTTTTTTTATAAAAACTTACTCAGATAGACGGGTGTTCATTGATGTGATAAACAAATCATTTATTGAAAAAAGATAACTATTTGCTTTTAACCAACTTCGTTTTAATGCTTTATTAATTATAGATAAAACTGTTGAATTTAATATTTTATTTTCGAGATAAATTGTATAACGTTTGTATGGAATATTTGTATAAATATTTGATAGATTAATTGAATTCGATAATGGTGAAATAAATCTTAATGAATTAGAATTTATCGTATAAATCAAACGTGTTAATGTTAGACTAAAAGAAAAAGAGTAAAATCTACCAAGAAAAAGTTTTAATTAAATTTTACTTTTTATTTGTTAAATAAGATGAATCAATAAAAAATTCCGATGAAATAGTAATTGGATAATTATCTAAAGAATAAATTATGATACGTGAATGTGTTATAACCAGAGAGAAAAAGAATTTCATACTATTTGTTTGACGCCATGCAGTTTTTAATGCTTCATAAATATCTTTATTTGATGAACGTGGTTCAATTAAATATATTGAACGTACTGGATGTGAAATACAATCATTTACATATTTTCCAAATGCTGAATTTGTTGGTAATGAAATGTTCTTCATTATATAATCAATTCGAACAGATCGTTTTCTAGAAGATATACGAAATTAAAGATTTTCTTTTTTTCGTGTAAGAATAAAATATACCCATCAGAACAAATATATTGGATTTGATTTTTTAATTGAATTGATACATTTGAATTTTCATTCTTCCATAATTGTTTAAGATTATCGACAAGTGAAGCTGATTGCATAAGAAAAGTAGGTCGATCAAGATAATGACTTTTAATTCCAAGATTTGCTGCTTTATATGTATCGATATCAGGATAATAAAGTGAAAAATCACATCGAGTTATTAATTGTGTACCATTAATAAACTGAAAAGAGAAGAAAAATAATTCATAGAAGAAAAAAAACTGGTGATTTTTATTTTACAATTAGATAAAAAAGAGTTTGATCGCTATTGATTGTTTCAGCAAAAACAATTTTTGCTTGTCCATATTCTGAAAAATACAAATTATTGATTAATTAAAAACTTCAATTGATAAATACATACGTGGATTAAATGACGTTAAATAATTTTCAATATCTTTTTGAATGAAACTAGTTATTGGTAATGAAATATTAGCAATATATTGATGAGTATCATTATGCGAAACAGATATTTGTTCAATTGGGTATAACTGATATTTTTGTGTTTGTGTCGACGAGAAGACAAACTAGATAAAATTGAAGAGGTGAAAAAAATAGATTATCAAAATATTGATTTACGTTTAATTGATCTTGAATTTCTTCTTGTGTAATTATTTGATCTGGTATAATCATATAATAAATTCGTGTAACTAGTGACATGTCTAATCCAAATCTTGATTCAGCCAAGATTGATGAAACTAAATAGATGAAAATAATGCAATATGAGATATGATAGTAGATCGAATGAAACATTTTTTAAAGTGGAACAGTCTTAACGAGTTTACAATTATTCTCTTTCTCGTAGAGAAGAATCCAGTAACAATTAATTGTTTGCTTGCTTGTCTGTCCGCACAGTCAACAAAACATCGAAAACCGATTTTTCAAAAAAGATATTTCTAGTAGTATTTCGATGCGGGGAGCTCGAATCTGAGGTCTGTTGAGTGATCATGGTGAGGGGAAAAGGTCAAAAAAACATCGAAGACCGATTTATCACTGTTTTCAATTAATTTTCCAATAAATGTGAAGAGGATAGATTTCTACGAGAAAGAGTTAAGCGAGCCTTCAAACGAGCGCTACTTGTTCTAACATCGATATATCCTTATTTTAATGAATTATTTGACTCGTCATGAGGGATAAATCTTGAAAGGTAGAAACTAAAGAATATGCTCACATGGGCCCTATAGCGGCATTAATGTTACACAAACGGCTTGGTTCTCATTAAATTTACTCTCTCCCTCATTGTCCGAGTTTATTTTGTAAACACTCTTACTATAACTTTTAATTATTACTCGTGTTTTTATCCCTTGAAAACCCCGTGAGTCTAAAACTAGCATATTTTTTTAGATGTGCGATCGCAGTTCAAACAAATACTACAAATACACTTGATAGAAACAGTTCTGAGAATAACGATACATATTCATTATTAAAGTTATGGCCAAAACAGAATTATTTATATCGAGGGTGAAAATATAAAAAAACATGCAGAAAAAACCAATTTGTTCGAAATCGAAGACTTCGCTTTGATACGTGATTACTATGCAAATTACCTTTTCCATCGATATTTATTTTTTGTAATGCTAATGTAATTATTTTTTCAAAATTATCTTCTTCAAGTTGTATTTGTGTATATTGTCCTTTCAAATCAATAAATGATGGTATATATCCATCTGGTACTTTATCTAAATAACTATTCTTGATATTACATAAATTATTCGTTGTTCCAATTAAATTTGCATTAAAACATTTATTTGGAATTGAAGAACTATCCGGTGTAAATACAATATATGTTATTGTAGTATAAAATTGTCTAAAAATGTTCACAATAAAAAAATATAATTTTACGAAAAAATGATTAATTACTTTGATGAATAAGCAAGATATTCTTGTACTCGTAGAATAAGAATTTTAACATTTATTAATCCTTGTTTAATTGGGTTTTGCCAATAATCTTTTAGAATTTTTTCGGCTAATAATTTATTAATTTTTCCTAAAAATGTTATTTGTTGAATATTTCGTTGTTGAATTAAATTAGTTGGTATTTGATTTGATATATAGTTTAATGGTTTCGGTATCGAATTAAATTGTCCGGATGATAACATAATTGATGATAAATATCTTCCATCAAGTTCTTGTTCATTATAAAAAATAAATAAATAAATTCGATGAATTGATTTCATTGATGTTATATTTAGATATAAATCTTCATAAAAAATCTCAATATGATTACTTAGAATTGAATCTTCAAAGAAAAAAGAAAAGAGAAGATAGAAACATAAAATAGAAATTTTGTTTTTTTTACTTTGTTGATTATATACAGTTAAAAGAAGTTTTTCAAGATAATTACGATCATTTTGTGATAAAGAATTTGTATAAAAATACGAATAAGATTTTGATAAACGATAAACATGAAATGATAAACGATTAAATTGATTAGATATCAGAATTTCATAAAATTGATTTGTTAATTCAAATGAACTATCAAGCCATGTACCATTGATATGTTGAAGAAAAATATTTGGTATATAATAGATTTGTCTAAATAAAAAAATACATATGATCAAGATTCAATTAATTTTAGAACAAAAAATTTACCCAAATTTATCAACTGCTTCATCAATATTAAATATAATTACATTCATAGTATAGATTCCTGCTTGATGCAAAGCATTATTTAATTGTTTTTCAAGTCTAAATTTATTTATATATTAGTATTATCGCAGTCAGAAATGGCGTAAGACAAATATCTTAAGAATGACAATAGCTCTTGCTCTGAAGTTATTAGCAATAGAAAGAGGCAGATGTAGAATACCTTGTTTTCTCTGATAATGTGTAAGGTAAAGTCCCTTTTAAAACTAAGTATCTTCGAGAAACATGGAAAAGATTGTATAAAAGTGCCTTCCCAGGTCGATCATTAAGAACTTCGCAAACGATTGAGTACGACCGTATTTCGCCGTATAACCTGAGATCGTACTACGATCATACAACTCCGTAAATAACCGTATTTTTCGTATATGATCGCGCTTGTTTGACCTAGGTTGGTATTCGGAATCTGAATAGCAAGGCACTTTCATGCAATTTGTCTTAGATATTATCGAAGAAAAAAAATCTGCCTTTTCCGATTGCTAGCTATTGTCGTTCTTTAGGTATTTGTCTTATGCCAACTAACATTTAATTCTACTGCCGAGAATAGTTTTATATTGACTTACATGTCTATTATTGGACATGGTACATAAAAATCTCGAATACTATATTCTAATGGAAGAATTTGTGTATCTTTTGAACATAGTAATTTATCATTTTCTTGTTGAATTTTTAAAAGTAAAATTGAATTTAATGATAAATTATGAATCATTGTTTCATTATATGTTATTCCATTGATTGTTACTAAGAAATATGCAATATTTGCTGGGTGACTAAAAAAAAACAATAATAAATTTTTATTGGAAAAATTAAATTATCATACCCTGTTGTTGTAATGCCCTCTTGAACACCTTTAAGCATAATATTAACATTTGATTGTTCTGTTGTAATAGAAATAGCTTTTGTAATTAAATCAATCCATAATGATATATCATTTAATGGAATACATAATTTTAATTTTAAAAGAATATTTAATGATATATATGGTTCACATTGTTGATAATATCGATAAGGTATTGTATTTAATATATCATTCGTAGATGCTAATGGTTCAATATTTGAACCAAGAATTAATGATGATCCACTTTTAATAATAAATTCTATTCGTGTCATTATATTACCAGATATTGTTGTATAATGTTCAATATTTAATGGTATAGCTATGTAAGGTTCTATTAAAAGAAAAGTTATTAGTAAGATTTATGTAGTTTTTTCTATGGCGTAGAGGAGATTCACATTTACATCAATGTAAGATTTATGCTCTGGATTAAGTCACTCGGATAAAAAGCAGTAGCGCTACTAATACATTAATGAATTCAACTTACGTATCGTTGTAATAGTCATTCGTCTAGTTGAATAATATGTTCCAATAGTTTGCATTAATAATTGTACATTTCTATCTGTAATTGAAGAAAAATATCCACAAATATCAATACTATATGGTTCGACGGATGTTGATGGGTTTCCAATAGCACCACACATAGCAGCATAATGTGCATCTGTTGGTTGTTGAATAGGTGTATTTAAATGAACAGTTGGAAGTATAGTATAATTAAAATTATAGATAATAACTTGTGATCTAAAATATAAATTTATTATTTTAAATAAAAAAAAATTAATTTACTGATTATTAAAAGCATTTTGATATGAATTTAATACAATTGAACGTGTTTGATTATTTAATAGAAGATTAGTTGCAGATATTTTACATAATGTAGAATAAGTTTCTGATGATAAACTTGAAGTTAAACGTTGATTAGATGATTGATTAAATGAAACATAAAGTGATGGATTATTAGAATCCATTCCAAGTTGTTTAGTTATCGATGAATCAATATCAATTTCAGTATTATTATTTGTTAATAACCATTGCCATCGATGTATTTTAGAACTATATATTCCACTTGTCCAAAAGTCTAAAAGAAAAAACGAATTACTATTGAAAAGCTGGAGGATTTTATTAGAATTCCCGAGTTTCGCCAACACATCCCTGTACTTTTAAATGCCTCTAATGATTTTCGCACATATACATTATTATAGAATAAGCAAACCTCGTGTTAATCCTTGAGAAGATAAAGCTGGTATTAATTGTTGTTGTAATTCATCCATTGATTGAAACCAAACTAATTGTGTTTGTTGTTTTTCACATTCTTCAAAAGCTTCATGTTGTGTTTTAAGAAAATTTTGTTGATTTATTCGATAACAATAGGGATAAAATAATGTTGGAGTAGCAAGAGTAAATGATGATGGACAAACTAAATTATAATTTTTTTTTTTATTTTTAGAAAAAAAGAACTAAATTATTTACCAAGTATAACATTGAGACTATTCCAAACTTGATCAATACAATGTAAAATGTTTTCCCATGATGATCCTATAGATTTTATTTCTAGATTATATCATTGAATTGATTCTATTCTTTACCTTCTGATCGATTCAATGGTATAACAATTTGTCCTGAATATGTTCGATTAATTGGTATAATTGGTGTTTGACAAAATTGACCCGTAAATGTCGATGGACATAAACATGAACATTGACATTGTGTTTTATTCATAAATCGAGTACCATTATTTTGACATGGTGTTAATGAACATATATCAAATGGTGTTTCACATCGTGAACCTAAATTAATACAAATATAATTTTTATTTTTCTCCTTGAAAATAACAAAGATTTGTTTTTTTATTACCAGTATATCCACATGGACATTGACATTGAAGTGAATTATTTTGAATCGAACAAATACCATCATTAAAACAACTATCATTAATACAATAAGGTATACTACAATCAGATCCTTAAAATAAAATCATCATGATTATATCCATCAAATACTTCATAAACAATTACCTGAATAACCTGCTGAACAAACACAAGTAAATAATCCATTGCCTTGATTTGAACATTTTCCATCATTCATACCTAAAATATTATATGTAAAAATCTCTGCTTTTAATTTTTCGAATTATAACTTACATGGATTTGATTCACAGGTATTAAATGATGTATCACATGTTTTACCTAAAGAAAATTTAATTAGGCCTCTAATATATTTCTTTTAAAATATTCTTTTCATTACCAGTAGATCCTGGATTACATATACATTGAAATATTGTTTCATTTTTATTTTGACAAGTTCCATGTATACACGGATTTAATCCACATGCAGAAATAAATTCGCAACTAAAAATTCAATCAATAATATATATATATGTATCATTCATATTTTAACTTACTTAATTCCATAATGTCCATCAGGACATTGACAAATTTCTTCTCCTGTTACAGAATTAATAACACATGTTGCATTACCTTGACAGGAATTTTTCGAACATGACGTTCGTTGTTCTGAACATCTTAAACCACTGTATAATGGTGGACAAACACATGTATAATTTGTTAGGGATAATGTTAAACATGTTGAATTATTTAAACATGGATTTGAATCACATGGTAATAATGGTATATCACAATTTTTACCTGTCATACCTTCTGAACATTGACATTGATATTCACCATTGGGAAGATTAATACAAGTACCTGTTCGACATGGATTTAATAAACAACTATGTAATGTTGTTTCACAATGTAAACCTAAAATATATTTCATTAAAAGTAAAAAACATTTTTTTAATTTAATTCTAACCTGTATATAATGCAGGACAATGACATTGCCAATATGGATAATTTTCATTTGCAATACAACTACCATTATGAATACAAGGCATTGATTGACATGGATCAAAATTTTCACAATTTTTTCCATAAAAATTTGATTTACAAAAACATTGATATGATCCATATGTATTCAAACATCGTCCACCATTTCCACAAATTCCTGATATTGTTCGACATTCATTAATATCCGTACAACTAAAAAAAATATGATAGATTAATTCATTTTTCGTCTTCTCTATTAATGAATACATACACTCCCATAAGAAATTGAAAACCATTTGGACAATCACATGTATATGAATAATTTCCATTTGAAATACAATTTCCATTTCGACATGGATTTTTTTCACAAATATTCATTTCACATGCTTTACCATAATATGATTTATAACATTGACATTCACAATGAATTGCTGATGTTTTTATAGCTAATCCATTTCTACATGGATAATTTAAACATGGATTTATTTCGATTTCACAATGATTTCCTTGATAACCAATCGGACATGAACAAGAATATATTAATGAATTTATTCGTATACAAGAACCATTATTTTCACAAGGATTTAATCGACATGGATCAATGGGTATTGAACATGTTGAACCTTCAAAACCATTTGAACATAGACATGTATAATTCTGATACATTGGTGTTGATATACATTGTGATGATGGACCACGACATGGATAACTTAAACATGGATCTGTCATTAATTCACAATTAATACCATAGAATGGCCATAAACATTGACAAAGATAATAATAAGGTGCTGGTTCAGAACATATACCACCGTTTTGACATGGTTGACTATTACAAACTTGTATATTATATTCACAATTGAAACCAGTAAAACCATGTGGACATAAGCATGTATATGATGATACTCCATTTGTAATACATGTACCTAAATTCTGACATGGTTGCGATGCACAAGGTGCATATGGATATTGACATTGAACACCTGTAAATAATGATGGACATTGACATTTAGCTGTTGGTGGATTTGTTGGTAGATTAACACATGTACCATTATTTAAACATATTAATGATGTACATTGATTAATTAATATTTCACAATGTATTCCAGCATAACCAGATTGACAAACACATTGATATGTATTTAAACCTTGTACACATATTCCATTATTTAAACATGGATTTGAATTACATGTATGAATTAATTCGGAACAATTTTTTCCTTCAGCACCAGGTAAACATTTACAACGATAACCATTCATTTCATCTAATATACATTGTCCATATAAACATGGTGATGGTTTACATAAATCAATAGATATTTCACATTGTCGCCCAATATAACCTTGATAACAATCACATATATAATCATTTAATTTTTCATCTATTCGACATTGTCCATATAAACATGGACATGATGAACATGCATCATTCGATAATTTTGTATCACAACGAAGTCCACTATAACCATATGGACATGTACAATTAGCTAAACCAGGACTAAGATAATTACATTGTCCACGTATACAATAGGAGCTATCTAAACATGGATTTATTGGTATATCACATTGATTACCTGTGTAACCATTTGAACAAATACATGAACAACTTGTTAAACTTGTTACAAGTGGTAAACCATATTTACATGTTGTTAATGAACAATTATTAATTGGTATTTGACATATTATACCTGTATATATGGGTGGACAAACACAAGTAAATGATGTTAATCGTGATATACAAGTTCCTTGATTTTGACATGGATTTGATGAACACCAATTCATTTCTAATTCACATCGAAGTCCAGCATAACCTTTCTCACATAAACATTGATAACTAAGTCCATTATTTGTATTACGACAAAAACCATTATTTAAACAAGGATTTGATATACATGGTTGAATTTCATTCGTACAATTTATTCCATTATAACCAGGTTGACATATACATTGATAACCATTTAATGTATCTAGACAAAGTCCATTATTTTGACAAGGCATATCTAAACAAAATGAATCACGTAATTGACAAAATTCTCCATGATATGATGATGGACATGAACAATTATGTAATCCAGGTGCAATATCAATACATATTCCACCGTTTAAACATGGCGATGATTGACATGATTGTACACGTATAACACATGTTCGACCTTGAAAACCATATGGACATTGACATGCAAATGATGTTGCTTGATTTATACATGTACCATTATTAAAACATGGATTTGTTGAACAATAATCAATGATTGAATTACATTTTTGTCCGGTATAACCAGGAAAACAATTGCATTGATAGGAATTTATTAATGGTACACATGTACCATTTAAACATGGTGCACTTAAACATGTATTGATTTGATGTTGACATGATATACCTGTATAACCAGGTAAACATGAACAAATTCCTGTTGTTGAACTTGTTCGAATACATGTACCATTATTTAAACAATATATTGATAAACATGGATCAATAGTTGCTTCACAATGAGAACCCGTGTAACCTTTCATAAAATAGAATAAAATTAAATCTAATTTTCTTTTCTTTTCTTTTATATCTACCTGTAGGACAAAGACATTGATATTCATTTAATTTTGATTGTAAACATATTCCATTATTTTGACATGGCATAGATTCACATTCATTAATATCAATTTCACAACGATTCCCGGTTAAACCATGTGGACATATACACTGATAATTATTATCATTTATTATACATGTACCATTATTTAAACAAGGTCCAGAATGACATTGATAACCACCCAGTTGACATTGTTTACCATAATAACCATTTGAACATGTGCAATTAAATGTATTTAATAATGATTTACTACATATTCCATTATGTAAACAAGGTAAACTATCACATGGATTTAATTCGATTTCACAATGAAATCCTGTATAACCAGATGAACATAAACAATCATAAAATCCATTTGAATTTTCTTTACATGTTCCATAATGACATGGATTTGTATCACATGCATTTAGTTTTATTTCACATTCGCGTCCTGTGTAACCATATAAACATGTACATTGTGAATTTTTTTCCGATGTTACTATACATGTACCATTATTTCTATAACGAAAAAGAAAAACATGAATATATTTCAATGACGGACAGAAAGGATGTGTACTAACCGACAAGAATTCGTTAAACATGGTTCAGTTATAATTTCTTCGCAGTTTTTTCCATAATAACCTGATAAACAATGACATTGATAAGAATTCATTAATGATTGACATGTTCCATTATTTTGACATGGTAATTTTTTACATTGATCAATTGCATTCTAAAACAAATAAATACAGGATTAAGATTCACATAGAAATGAATTTTATCAAAAAACTTACATCACATAAACCGCCATCATATCCTTGATAACATTGACAATAAAATCCATTAATATTATCAAGACATCTTCCATGTTTACATGGTTGTGATATACAGTCATCAACATTAACCTCACACATCTGTCCAGTGAAACCAGGTAAACATTGACATGTATATCCAAATGGTTTTTTATTTAAATCTGTTATACATGTACCATTATTAACACAATTTGTTTGATTTCTACATGGATCAATATGTTCGGAACATGTTAAACCTGAATACCATGCTGGACAGATACACATAAAATTTTCTAAACCATCAATACAAGTTCCGCCAAATAGACATGGATTTGATGAACATTTATTTATTTGTATTTCACAATGAATACCCGTATAGGATGACGAAGGACAAATACAATCATATCCATTTAACTAAAAACAAACATTTATTTATTTTTACAAAATATCTTTCATATATCCTTTTGTTTTTACCTTATTAACACACAATCCTTTGAGACATGGTGAACTTTCACAATAATTTTTTTCCATTTGACAATTAGATCCAACGAAACCTACTGGACATTGACATGTATAATTCCAAACATCATCTATACATGTTCCATTATTTAAACATGGATTTGATAAACATTCATTTGAAGTTTTCTCACAATTTACACCAATAAAATCATCAAGACACACACAACGATAACTATTTATCAATGGTATACATAAACCATTGTTCAAACATGGATTACTTGAACAATAATTAATCATTGATGAACAAGTCAATCCCTAAATAATCAATATTTACATTCAAAGAAAAAATTCGATTTTCCTTACAGTATATCCTTGTGGGCAATCGCATTTGAAATTATTAATTAATGTTCGACAAATTCCACCATTTAAACAAGGATTTGATTGACATTGATCGATTTGACTTTCACAATAATAACCCGTAAAACCTTAGAAAATATTTTTGCATTGATTATAATCAAAATATTTCGTTTTTTTCTTACCTAAATTACATATACATGAAAAATTATTAAAACCATCAATACATCGTCCAGAATTTAAACAAGGATTAACTGGTTCACATTCATTTCTTTCATTTTCACATTGAATACCTTCAAAAAAATTTAATTGAATCATAATCTTTATTCAAAAAAAGTTTTTATTTACCAGTAAAACCATTTGGACAAAGACAAACATATTTATCAATCAATGATTTACAAGTTCCATTATTTTGACAAGGTTTAGATTGACATTGATCAATTATTGTCTCGCAAAATGAACCACTGATTCCATTTGAACATGTACATTGTGATCCAAATTCTGTATTTGAACATATACCACCATTTTGACACTAAATAAGATTTAGATTAACAATCGAACTCAAGAATAAAATTCTTACTGGTTGTGATTGACAATAATCAACAATTAATTCACAATTTTCTCCATGAAAACCTTTTGAACATAAACATGTTAAACTTGTACCATTATTTACACATTTGCCATCATTTAAACATTGAATTCCTACACATTTATCTTGTAAATATTCACAGTTGACTCCTGTATGTGTTAATGGACAAATACATTGATAACTATTTTGAAAATCTATACAAATTCCACCATGTAAACACTAGAAAATAAAGAAAAAAAATATAATTTAAGAAAAAAAAAACTTATATCGAAATTACCGGTTGTGATAAACATTCATTTATATTTATCTCACAATGTCTCCCAGAATATCCTGGTTTACATAAACAATTAAATGATGAGATTCCTGTTGATAAACAACGTTCAACACCTTCAATTGAACATGGATTTGTCAAACAAATATCGATTAATTGATTACATTCTAATCCTGTATAACCTGGTGCACAACAACAACTAAATCTTGTTGATAAACTTGTACAATTTCCATTTGATCCACATGGACTTGATGCACATTGATTGATGACAGTTTCGCAATTATCACCTGTGTATCCGCTATTACATTGACATGTATAAGATGATAATGTTGGTGTACAACTTCCATGTAGACAAGGAAAACTTAAACATGAATTTATTGGTTGTTCACATTGTTTACCAGTAAAAAATGGTGGACATATACAAAGAAAATCATCATATGAATCTCGACATATTCCACCATTTAAACAAGGTAGACTATTACATTGACTAATCATTGTTTGACATCTTAAATCAGTATAACCTGATGAACATAAACATAAAAAACTATTGATTTGATCAATACATGTTCCATTATTATAACAAGGTGTAGCTTGACAATCATCAATATTAACCTCACAATAAATACCCGTGAAACCAGCTTGACAATGACATGTAGGTAAATTTCCATAATTATTTACACAAACACCATTATTTAAACAAGGAAATGTTTCACATTGATCAATAGCTGTTAAACAATTTTGACCTGTTAACCACGATGGACATATACATTGATATGAACCAGGTAAATCAATACATGTTGAATTTGGATGACATGTTAATGGAAATGAACATTCATTGATATTAACTTCACAAAGATTTCCAGTCCAACCAACTGGGCATAAACATGAATACGATTCAATATGATTTATACATGTACCTTTTAGAAGAAGAAGAAAAAAAAACAATTAAAATTAGTATCAAACATTTGACAAAACGGTCAAGTTAAGTGTGCTCCAAATTTGGAGTTTATGGATGTCTAAATTTTCGCGAAAAACTGTAATCGTCTGTTTTTGATTGCTCTAATAGATACTCTAGACTGCACTGAGTCGACTGGTCATGCTCAAGAAAAAAAAGGACACAGCTACAAGTTCTCGAAAACTTCAAATGTGGAGCTCATTTAACTTGACCTGACAAAATTTAAATTTAATAATAAAGAAAAACACTGATATGATACGACGATATTAACAGATGTTCGATGAATTTCTATTGCATGAAATCAAAGATCATTAACTTACCATTGTTTTGACAAGGAATACTTGAACATAGATTAATTTCATGTTGACAATTTGAACCCATAAAACCAGTTAAACATTCACAATGATATGTATTAATACTATCAAGACATATACCAGCATTTAAACATGGATATGATAAACATTCGTTTATATTATCTGAACATTCAATACCTGTCCAACCAGGTTCACAAATACATGTTCGTGTTAATGTTGTTAATTCAACACATTTACCATGTAAACATGGACTATTCACACATGGATTTAATTCATGTTCACAATGTTGTCCTAGAAGAAAAAAAATACATATTAATATTTTCCTCTATTTTTTATTGATTGCACTTACCAATAAATCCTACACGACATGTACAATTAAAATCAATAGAAGTCATATCTCTCATAATCGATGTACATGATATTGAATTTGATGCTACACATGGATTACTTAAACATGGATCAATTGGAATACTACAATCAGTTCCTTGATAATCTTTATTACATTGACAATAATAACTACCAATTGTATTAATACATATACCACCGTTTTTACAAGGTTCTCTTGCTAATAAACATTCATTCATATCTTCAATACAATTTGGCGGATTCGTATAACCTATTGGACAATGAATTGTTTTATTATCTGAACAAGACGAAGTCAAACATGAATTTATTCGATCTGAACATGTCAAGCCAGTAAAATCAGATAAACAAGTACAAATATAACCTGTAGCTATACTAGCACATATTCCATTATTTTCACATGGTTGAGATAAACAATAATTTATTTTAATATGACAAAATTGACCCGTATAACCAGGATAACATATACAACTAAATGAACTTGTATTTGATAATAATTGACAAATACCATTTTGACATGGCGAATATTGACATGGATTTTGATTAATTTCACATAATGAACCTGTATAAATAGAACTTGAACATAAACATTTATAACCAGTAGACGTTGACAAACATAGAGCATTATTTTGACAAGGATTATTCGTACATGGATCAATAGATATTTCACATAGACGTCCTATTATATAGTCACATTTAGTGATTAATTTTCGATAATGAGTTAATGTTACATACCTGTATAAGTTGCTGGACAACAACATGAACCATTAAAACATGAACCACCATTTAAACATCCTGTTGATACTGAACATTCAGTATCAAAGATTGAAGCAATTAATTTTTGTGTACATAGATTGATTGGACCCCAACCATATAAACAAACTTTTTCTCCATCGGAATTACAATAAAAATGTCCTTGAGAACATGAATTCGGTGCTGAACATTGAACTGTACAATTCGGACCATAGTATGTTGCTGGACATTGTTGTTTATCTTGACAATATAAACCTGTATAACTAAAGAATAGAATGAAAAAGGAAATATAATTTATTTTCTATTGAACCATCATCATCATCATATTTACCCAGTTGGACAGTTGCATATAAAATAATTACTTCGTGAAATTGTATCATATGTTGAATGACATGAACCACCATTCAAACATGTACGATCTGGTATACATGTTGAAAGATATTGACAATTTTTACCAGTAAAACCTAAAAAAATTGTTTGTAGAGAATTACAAAAAAAAGAATGAATAGACAAACCGATTGGACAGCAACATGTTGATTGATTATTTCGACAAAAACCACCATTATAACAAGTTAATTCTAGAAATTAGATGATAGAAAAATTTAATTAATCGATTAATATAGATAATACCTGATGATAAACATGTAGAAGATATATTATGCATTGAACATTCATTTCCAAACCAACCTGGTGAACAAATTTTTTCACCTGTTATTGAATTACAAGTATATGAACTTGTACAATCATTATTTGGAATACATTGTATTGTACATTGTTTACCATAAAATGTTGGTCGACAATAACTTTTTACACCAATTATTATTCTAATATAAACAAGCAAATAAAATTTACATTTTTTTGGTTTTTCGTATTCGAAAGAAAATCATACTGATTAATATTTGAGATATTTTTTGTTAAGTCAATTAATGTCATTTGTTGAAATAATCCATCCAATGAATCCATATGAAATGTTGTATAAAATTGATTTAATAGCATGCTCGTATTATTATAAAAAACAAAGATTTTAATACGAATTGAATCCTATTTAATGAAGAAAGATATTTTTCAAAATATACAAAACATTTTTTTTTTTGAATTTACATCATTTATTTGTGGTAATTGAAATTGAAGTGGAAAAATATTTGTAATATTTTCTATTGTATAATAATTAAATAAACTAGTGCTATTTGCTTTTATTTGTGTTGATTTTATTCCCAATGGACATGAAGTCCAATTTGATTGAATTTCACTAAAGATTCAAACAAAAATATCTTTTGGCGATGCAGACGTTTATATTTGCTTTTCAAATCTTTTTTTTGTCTCGAGGGTTATACTCTCTCTCTCTCTCTCTCACATTGCATGATCAATCTAAACTGATATCAGGACACTGAGTGTTATGCTAGACAAGTGGCATCACCTTTTATTGTTCATACACACGTGTATAATCAAATAACAGAACACAAAATCAATTATATATATGTATATATACTTCAAAATTTCTCACATTAAATGAGTATACCTGTTTATCAAATCCAAACAAACAATTGTATATAAATTACAGGATATTGACATAGGACAAAAATTTGCAGAAGGAAATGAACCATCACAACATTGTCCATTGACAGTAATACCCGTTGGATTGTGAAATTGAAGTAAATCAACAAGTAAAATCGATGATGATTCTTGACAATCAACCTATATGTTTATCAAAGAAAAATACGAAAATCCTTTTTTTTTTGTTAAAATCAATTGATAATGATGCCTAAGGGATTATTTTCTTTTTTTTTTTTGTTGATTGTTCAAATAAGCTTTTACTTTCTTATCTTTTCAGACACAAGTGGTGCTGTATATACTTGACCATCATCATCGATGAACTAACAATGCACATATGCATAAGTATTTAGTTAGAGACAAACAAAATGATCAACTTTGACTTTTTGAAAAAGTAAAAAAAAAAGAAACTTAAAAGAAAAAGATTTACGACTTCACTTAACTAACAATTTCAAGATTAAGCAAATAGTCATATAAATATAAATATGTTCAAAATTTTTACCTGTCGATTATTGAATAATAACAATAAAAATATCAATAACATATTCCTACAAATGAAACAATCTTGAATAAAAGAAGTAAAAAAAAAATGTGTCATTTCTCATATGTATTGTTAAAACATTATAAATACAATGATGTTTAGTACACAAGATGATAATGTTTGTCGTCTTATTTCATTCCTTGAAAAGAACGAGAAAGAAAACGAATATTGATTCTTCCTCCTACATGTTCATGCTCACATACTCGACCTATATAATTATTAGATATTAAGAAATGAATGAATGAATGAATAGGTGAGACAGAAAAAATCGTACAAGTTTGTCACGTCGCTCCATCTTAGTAGTGTAGTAATCTGTTAGACTAACGTTAAAAATGTAGAATACAGTCATAGCAGCAGCAGCAGTAACAATGACGAAAGAGAAAAAAAAAAGAGAGAACGCCTTCTCACCCTCTAGTTATCCTACAGAGTTGTATATGTCAGTAGGCGGTGACAACGGTATACAGTTCTATGAATGAATGGATGGTAAATTGAGAGCGAAAGAGGAACTAAAAGATGCTATCACGTCAATAAGTTGGATTTTGATTGTGCATGAACGATTTTCTCTCTGTCTCTCTCTCTCTCCCTTCTTACTTATCTGAGAGAATTCTTTCGCTCTGTCTGAAGAGACGAATTTGTTTGTGTTACTTCTCTTCCACTATATTGAACTTTTGTTCTCTCTATGTTCAGCTATTTCAATGACACATACACATGCACGATATTTTGTTCTATTCTGTAATGTCCCATACAGTGGCACTCAACGCCCACACACATATACACACACACATATTTATATATATATATATGTATACATATATTGAGCGAGTGGTAGATGTCTGTATCAAAAAAAAGTCTGAATAGACATATACCACACCTCATTTTCAATTCTTGTTGTGCTCAATTGTTTTCAGCCTATGGCTATTTGCATGCGTCATTCATTCATTGTCCATTGTTACTGACATTAGTCTATGATGGTATATAATATCTGACTATAAAACGAAAAATCAATTCAGACAAGTCCATTAAGAGAATTGACTTCAAATTAGTCACATAGTTCCAGAAGAATATGACATTTATTGTATATGATCAATAAAAAAAACAGATGAGCGAATAATTTATTCTTTTTTTTATTTACACGTGTAATATGTATTGAAAATTCATCGTCCTGCTTTTTTATTCTTGTCTTCTTGATATGTAAAATACATCCAGGACAATAAAGATGTATTTGTCCAAGTACACGTTTTAATAATAGTCTTTTGTATTCTGAAGCAATGATTTAGTTTGATGAGTCACGTAATTTTCACTCCGATTACACTTCTACTTGACAAGTATTGTATCAACTATCCTATTGAGTAGATCAAAAAAGAATTATATAACTTTGTTATCATATCGTTTGAAGAAAATGATTCCCATGATTGTATGAATTTATATGTTGTTGAATATGACAAGAATAAAACAAAACTATCTGCTAATGTTTATTATTTCATATCAAATTACAACTTTTTTTTTGGAAGGAATTATGATCAATTATCTTCACATATGTTATGATATTACGTTGAATATCAACAGAGAAGAAATTTTTTTTTTTGCAGTTTTATATATTATATGAAATATGAAACTTTTATTGGATGATATCATCAAATCTTTTATAAGTTATTCATGTCACCTTATTCTTTATAGACCAATTGTTAATCTAGAATTTTATAAAAAAAAGAAGAAGTTGAATAATGAACTATTTTTTAATGTAAAACAGTTGTCATATTGACAAAAGAGTTTGTTTTTTAAAGTGTTTTTGTTACTTTTTTTTCTCATCGAACTGTCTTAACTCACTGCAAGATATTTGATGTTACTGTTGTTCTATATATGTTGAAAGTCTTCAGGTCATATAAATTTGTTCTCATTGAACTAATCTAACCAACAGTATTTGTTTCGATTTTCTTTGAATAGAGACATAGACTTAAACAAGATAAGAAATAGTAAATCGTAACAAAAAATTAATTTTATTAGATAACTGTATAATAATTATATGTGACAATTGATAAGATTGTACTTGATAACACCGGAGCAAAATGTAACAATTTATTAAATAAAATAGAAACGGACAATTTTTTTTGAAAAAAAACATAAAATTAGAAAGACAAATATATTTGATTACATGCATATTGTTCAAGAAGTGAGTTTTCAATTATAGAAAAAAATAAATATTATATATCTGGTAGCATTACATCATGATTCATATGAAAAGAGGTTTTGTGACAGAATTCGAATACAGGTGTAACACTATGTCCTTTTACATTGGTAAAGGCCACTCCTAAATATTGTAATATAAAGACAATTCTTAATATTATTCGAAATAAAATATCTATTACCTATTCGTGTTCCGTTGATTATATATTCTAAAGTTCCTTCATTCAAGTCTAATAATATTCCAATACGTGTACCTTGAGCAAATTCATTGTAATAAGGAGACGACTTATTGTTATGTCTCAATCCAGTAAAATCATCGCCACTCCATGAAGGACCCATTCTCAACGTCCAACTAAATGAATCATCACCTAAACGTATTTTTGCATCCCAGGAAGGAGTAGCAATACCCACCGATGCATAATAACCTTGAAAATTCAATGAACATTTATTAGATTGTCATTCATAAGAAGGTAATGTATTACGGTTTTTTTCGTTTAATGTTACTTCCCAATAATGTCTACCTTGGTACCATGGAAGATTCAGTACTTTTGCATATAAAAGCGTAGCATATGCACCATTATAGATAGCTGTGCGTCCTTGGTCGGAAATAATCACTTCTGGATGATGATAAATAGGATCAAAAAGAAGTTTCTCAACTATGGTAGCAGTCGTTATTGTATCTTTTTTCAATTTTTTGATTAATGATAAGATCTGATAGTATTCAGCTTCTAAAAGAAGTTCAGTACGATCTTCAGCTGATTTTGGTTCAATGAATACATTTGTACGTAGATAATTGAGCAAAACCCTACAAAAAGAAAAGAATTTATATATTCAATTTATTATATTTGATTAAGATGATGGCTTCATTCAATTTATTTATATGGTATATTTGTACCTAAAATGTGTTGAATCACGATCAATGAATGTGGCACCTTGACATTCTTGAAGATCATATCGTCCATTGAACATTTTTGTGAATAGACATTCTTCTTTAGTTAAAGTTTCCATTGTAGTCGTAAATAATTGACCACCAACATTAAGTGTTACAATTTGATCGTATTTCTTCAACAATTTAGTCATTTCATCTTTTTCTTTCTTTAAAATCTCAATCTCTTTTCGTAAACTATCATGTTCATTTATTAGATTAGTTTGACTATCAGCAATATGTTTGAAGAGCGTATCAGCTTCAGTTCGCATGACTTGATTGAAACGATCAAAAAGTGGAGTCCATACATTATCATTACTATTACTAGCACTAGTCAATGACATGATATCTAGACAAGAGTATATATAATAAAATTAAGTATTATACACTTGTTTAAGATAAGATAAGTTAAAACTAGAGATCTGCGGGACCATTGGGATTATCCCGAGAATTTTTTGTAGCTGGACTAACGGGACTGGGACAATATAGAAAAAATCAAAGTCCCGAATTTTTTTGCATCTATATGAAAATGTGTGGTACAATTTAATTCTTTTATTTCTTTCTTCTTAAAATTATTTAAAGAAACGTTGATTTATGTACCAATGATGTAAACCCATTCGTTTTTTCGTATTAGTAGTATACAATGCAAATATTATCTTCTTTGATAGAGTGACATCTTTCTACTTTTTTTTCGATTATAACGGTTAAATGTGAATTGCGGGACAGGACCAACGAAACTCGGTACGAATCAAACTTTTTTGGGACGGGGTAAACGAGATTCGGGACAGAAAATTTTTTTTCCCGCACATCTCTAGGTAAAACGTTTAAATGAGTTAATTCATCTTTTTACTTCTATAATACTAAGCAACGCACCTTCTAAAAAAAACTGTATTGCATTTATATGAAATCGTCGACGATTTTGTTTCATATCTTCAATGAATAAAATATTCACCAATAGTATTTCATACAGAGCGATACTAAATTTATATATACTTATTCTCGATTATATAATCTACGATAGATATGTAAATATTGTTCACAAATATTGTAGAAGAAAAGCAATGGTAAATCATATAAACGCATTTTTAAATTAACATAAAATCGATGTTTATATTATTTGAATTATTAGTAATATAACTAATCAAAAAATGTTAGAATCGAATGTAAATTAATACTCATCTGTCACAATAAAAAAATCCAGAAATTTTCAATACTATGTAATGTAACTAGGGATGCAACAGTAACGATCATTAATCGCTATACCACCGAACCGGTGACCCGGTGAAACGATAACCGTTTAGATAGGTGAACCAGTGAAGCGATAACTGTTTGGGCCGGTGACGATTAATCGATCTAACGGTGAAAGCCAGTAAACGCTTTAAAATCTACGACGAAGACCGATACATTGGCACCATTTTTCTGAAGGGATATGAGTTAATTAATATACCGGTCTTCGCCGTAGTTTTTAAAGCGTTTACCAGCCTTCACCGTTAGATCGATTGATCGTCTTGGTTCACCGGTTCAAACGGTTATCGTTTAGCTACGGTTAACGGTGAACCGGAGTCCGTCACTTTTGCATCCCTAACGTTAGGTATACAACAATTGCTATGAATACAATACGTTATAATCCGACTGCAGCAAATTCTAATCAGTAAGTGATATGACAGTATCAGATATTTATTAAAATGAATCCGTCTTTTAGATTTTCTCACGCACAACAACAATCACCACCATCACCACCTCATCCATCAGACTCTCATCAAAACATTGGAGCTACTAGTTATATTACACCCAATGTGCAGTACTACAGACAAACACCGTCGGATACACAAGAAAATGTTGTTATTGTACCTGCCTCTATTTCAATTCGGAGAAATCAAATTTCAGCAATAACAACAAATAAATTTCGAATATTTTTAATCATATCAGGTCTTTTTACTTTAATTTGGAGTTTAGCAATTATTGGTCTTGGAATGTATATTACTATTAAATCAGTCAATACGTTAAATCGTGATATTTTGGCAAGTGGATATCTTCTAATTGGAAGTATTTGTTTGTTAAAACTTTCTTGTGGAACATCTTATCTCTTAGATTATATAAAACAAGTTTTTGCTATGACTTTAGTGTTTTGTATTGGTGGACTTATTTTATCTGCTATCATTTTTTATCAATCAAAGAAATGTTCATCATACTTTCCCGCTATTCATTCATGTGATAAACAATTACTTTATATTTCAAAAATGACTGATTTAATTGTATTTATCGTTGCTAGTATTCATTCATTGATTAATTTTCTTGTACTTATTAATCAAAACAAAAAATCATTGTCAATACCAACTACACGAAATCATTAATATCATATGAATATATTGTATTTACTTGAAATTATACTCACAGACGCTTATGTCTACATATATCTTATCATTTTCAATAAAATTCTAATGTATACTTTTATTGAGATCAGTGCATGCATTTTTTTCTGTTCTAATGTTGATTTAACTAATAGGAAAATAAATACTATACCACGTTTTTGATAACACTCATTATAGACGAGAAAAGATGACACTATTAATATCATGAAAATAGTATATATATATTGATTTATTACATCTGTTTTTTGTTGATATGGCAAATAAAGAAGGTATCAATTAGTTTTGTCGTTAAATATTCTTCTAGCTAGATAGAATACATCTGTCGTTAAATAAGGTCAATGACGATTTGATAAGACGCCGTAGTATTAAAATTCGGAAATAATGAAATTTTGTTGTTTAATAATTGAATTCAATACAACAGCTAATTCCCGAATGCGGTCACTTTTAATAATTAGTTTATTAAAAGTAATCGCATTTAGGAACAGAATGGGTAAATGAAAAAAAAAATCTTTTAATTGAAAAAATGACCGCTTTTTATAAGTAGTAAATAGATTCAATCAATAATTCTACGTGTCAATAAAAAGAAAAACATGGTAAACATACAGATATTATGATAATCAGAGAGAAACGTAAGATCTCAGTCATTGCTAAATACATAATCCTCTTCATCTTTATTTGCCTTATCGTAAATATTACTAGAACGATGATTATATACAACGCACTCGTTTACGATAATCATCAAGATGTAAAAGTCTGTTCAAGTAATTTTGCTTCAATCACATAGCACAAAAATACCAAGAAAAAAAGAAGAGTGAAATTAAGAGGTATGATTATAGAAAAAAATTTATTGATCAGATTATCTATTGTTAAATTGCGACCATTTTTCATTTATCCATTCTGTTCCGGAATGCGGTCACTTTTAATAAACTCATTATTAAAAGTGATCGCATTCGGGAAGTAGCGCAATAGAACATTTCTATTTATTTCCGAGAGAGAGATTGTATTAAAATTTTACATAATCTTGACAATAAACCGTATTCAAAGAAATATACGAGAGTAATATCTATTCAATTTAGTTTTAGTTATTAAAACATGGGCTGTTGCAAAAGTCTTCCAAATATTACTTGTGATTTTCGTTTGCATAAAATAAAATCCTCATGTTTGACACACAATGAAATTATACAATTTGAAGCACTGTTATCTGAAATACCTGATCATTGCCGACAAGCAATTATCAACCTACCTATACGTCAACTACTTAATATTTATCAATATCATATAAGGGCATTAGATTATGGTCTACAAAAAGAATGGCAACTTGTTATTGCATTTGAACAACGTGTTATAAAACGCTTACAAGTTCTATTACCTACTGATAAAGATCATTATATTTTCTTTAATTTTTACAATGTATTATCAGCATCTTTCTTAGCATTAGGTGCACTTCAATTAGCTATCGAAGGACTTCATATAGCTCTAGTTATTTTATTAAAACATACACCAACGGATTATAAAACAATAAGTATGCATTATTATCATATAGCTAATGTTTACAAAATTTTATACGATTTGAAAACAATGATACAATATTTAACAAAAGCAATTGAAATAGCTCGATTAATAAATGACTTAGATCAAGAATATATTGTTAAACTTGAAACTGAACTCCAAATAGCAATGTAAGTTGATCATAACTAAAGAAAAATCTACATATATATATGTACAACTATATCATTATTTGAAGCAGTTTAATCATATAATTAGAATCTATTTATTAGTATTAAAATTCTTGTCTTTCATTTAGACAACAACAAGATAACAATAACCTGCCATATTCGACACGTTCTGAGTTAAAAATAGAATTTGAAGAGATTAATCAAGATTTTCATCAATGGATAACAGCTGGTACAATTACCTTCGATGCACAACGTAATAGACTTCTTTATAATGAATCTCAATCCAAATATTGGCGTTATTATCAATCTGAAGTATAAGTCATTGATGGAATTCTAAATGATATTTATAACAAATTAAATTGAATATTAATGTCAGATTTACGTCAGTACAATATGAATAATACTTATTGTTTGATTCAACGACGAATGAGAGGTTATCTGGGAGTTAGAGAACATAATCAGCTCGACTGATAATACCCACTGAATTTTAATAAAATATATGTACGTTTTTTAATCATTTTTGTTTTGATGTATTTCGGTTGTTATTAATTTTCGAAGGTCATTTGTCCTATTGAACACACTATATTATTACGTAATAGATATTCTACTCGATTAAATCAGACAAAAAATATTTCTTCCATAGATAGCGTCAGTTATCAATAAACGATTTATATTTAACTTGATTCGCTATCAGATAAATTTATATTGGTTTCATGATAAACAGACAATAAACATTAATGACCTATATTCACATTTTACTTTACTAGGTATACTGGGTACTATATAAATATGTTTTTCGAATAATTTTATATACAATTCGATTATTAAGTAAAATATACTTTTAGATCTTGAAAAAATGACTTCAGTTAATTTTGCTAAAGGTAAAATCTATGGTGTATTACGAGCACGTGTAGTCGCTGATAATGGTGAAGATCATTCACATAAAACCGATGAAAGTCATTATAATTTAATATCAGTTGATGATGAACAAAGTCAAACTGTAGAAAAATATCAAATAAATATAGATATTCAATCACTTCAATCAGCTAATGTTAAATGTATAATAATTGATCCATTTGTGAATACATCTATACCATTTTCTAATATACCTATTGGTTTTACACCATTACAATCCGATGATAATGATAATATAGCATTAGATTTTATCCGACGACCTATATTTGATATAGATCTTCTAACTAAATCTCAAGCATTAACTGCAAATGAAATAGCTATTCAACTTGATAATTATTTTAAAACTAATCAACCAAATATATTTGTATTTGGAACAAAATATGATGATAGTCATACAATAGAAACGAATCATTATGGTTTACAACGTGCAATAAAAGAAAATAAACCATCCCGAGGTATAGATGATATTCATATGAATCAAATTATTGGCAAAGATGGACATGCATATCAAGATGGAGCTTTATTTATTCAAAAAGAAAATGAAGAAAATTCCTATATTGCTTTTTTCTTCTGTTTTCTAAGTCAATGTAAAACAGAAGAATAATTAATAAAAATTTATTGACATCAAAACAAAAATTTTATTTTATTGTGATGTTACAATTGTTGAGATTTGTGTGAATATTGTAAGAAATTCATCAAAAGATAATAAAGCATCTATTGAAAGATAATTCATAAGTTTATTTTAAAAAAATCGAATACCTTTATCATGATCAGCAAACTCAATCATTTCGTTAGCTTCTTGATTATTAATAGGATAATTTAAAATATTCATAATTATAGATAAATCATTTGCATCAATCATACCATCTATATTGAACAGAATTAAATAAGAAAAAAAAATAGATTGCAATTTTTTTGATCACCAACAAAAGGTACAAGTGATCACTAAATTTATTACTAACTCTTTCAGGACGGAATTATTTTTTTGGAAAGAAAATAGATTTTAAAGAATCAAATGATTCTGTTTTTTATTCAAATTTATTAATATGCTGTGTACACGATTGGATGACGTAACAACTTCATGCTCACCTGTGTATGCAAGAGAATAAATCAGGAAGATACAGCATAATAGTTTAGTGCATAGAAGAAAAGGAAGAAAATAGGTCATAAATATGCAAGTCATATAAGATATATATCACTGCTATAAGTATAAAACGTGTACACAACTACTTCCCATCGTCAATACATAACATGTTTCTTTTAAAAAAAGACTGGTATATACGGTGTACTACCCGTCTTGAAGGAGTTAATAAATAGATAGTACATTAATAACAATCGCATGCCATCTTGAGAGTGGGTGGGTATGGGTGTGAGTGTGACTACATCTTTTCCTCACCTAGACCTAGTCCTACGCCCACACCCCTGCCCACTATGTGCTAATTAGTTTGATGATCAAATATATCGTTTTTTGGTGATTAAAAGTACATTTTCCCAAAAAAATGGATATTACCTTTGTTTATATCAAAACATTCAAACGCAATTTTAAGATCTAATCGTCGAAATGCTTCGTCTTCTAAATGTAATTTTTCTTCGTATGCTAATACTAATAATGCAAAATGTTGAAAATCGAGTAAACCAGAAAATGTGTCAGTTAATTCATATTCAATTAGAAAATCTTGATAAGTTATATCTTTTTGTGGGTCGTAATTAAGTGCAAGAAAAGCATCAGTTAAACGTTCAACAGGCACTAAAATTTGAAAATTTTCTTTAAAAAAATAAAAACATATTTTTTATCATACTAGATTGAGAATTATTACTAATAGTATTAAAAACATGACGTATTAATTTAAGTTTATCAGGTGGAATTTGTCGTTTTTGTTTTGATAATTCAGTTAATTTTTGTGATTTTTTTAATAGATTATCATTATTTGCATGTATTTGTGTATTTGATGATATTCTTTCAATTATTTTATTATCTTTTGAAGAATATCGATTCGATGTACGTTGTGTAGAATCATTACTATATCGATTTAATATATATGATTTACTATCTGTTCGTTTTATTGACATAAATAACTTCGAGCTATTCAAAACTAATTAATTTTCTTTTTCGAATCATAATGCGCTGAATTGTCTGATGATATAAAAGAAGATATTAATTATCTTGTTATTCTGTCGAAAGATTGACATGTATAAATCTTATATCTATAGACGTTAAAAATAGCATTCTCTTCAGTTTAAGCATATTCATAGGGAATTAGAAGACATCGAATTGAATTGAATGCATAAACAAAAATTTAATTATCGATATGACAAATAGTAAAAACCAAAATTAATTTGTTATATTGATTTGCCTTAAAAAGATACAAGTAAAAGCTGGTCTATTACCCTGTCTAATATTAAGTGACTGAGAATGCACTGAATCTCGTTTTCATCTACAGAACATTTTTTCTATTTAGTTACAAATCTCATGTAAATCTATCGACTATTTTCGAAGCACAAGATTGTTTTTGTATCAAGAATTTTGTTACATCCTACATTATCATCAACAATTGATAATGCGTAGAAGAAATATGTTATTCTAACCTGAATATTCCGTTATTATTTCTATCAATTTATTATTTTCCAGGCCAACAAAACTTGATGTACGCAATTCGTTTATTTACCATCTATCTTCATAGTCTTATAGATAGCATTAACTGATAAACAGTACGGTCATTTCTTCTTCTTCTGTAGACATGTAAGACTATACTATTAGCCTTGTCGATTGCTTGTAAAAACAGTTCTAAAAAAAACAGTGATTAGACAAATTAACAAACATAATAAGTGAAGTTATATGTTCCATATGTTGCATCAAAAGATTATAAAGATATTAAATTACTATTAACTATTTCTCATCATCATACTTTAAAAAAAAATCTATTAGTATATAATACAACAATGGAAACAATCATAAGAGAATGCGTAAATGTGTTTTCTTTGTATCATTCTGTACTAACATATTCTAAATCTTACTTATACAGTACGTAACAGTTGAGAGAAATAAAAGAAAGTACGAATATCGAACCATTTTCAATAATCGTTATGATCATTTTTTTGCATCAGCAGTGCATATGTACTTGGTGTCTTTTTTTCTTCTTACATCCATAGAAAAATTTGCATCTGTGACCACCTATCATCATCATCATTATCATCATCAATGATGATCGAACTCCGCCTTTTTTCTTCAAAAGAAAAACATATTCTCATTTTTTCTTCATCATCATCATTTAAATGTTAGAATCTATATCCAAACGTCAGTTGTTGCCATCAGTGAGAAAAAAAAAGAATGAGACAATGCATTCTTTTTTTTTTATTCGTATTTTGAACGATGTATAAATACGAATGAAGATCATGTATTTTTTTCTTTTTATAGTCTTATTCAGTAAGTATAAGAAGAAAGAGCCGTGTCAACGTTTTGATTGTTGCTCAGAGAGTCTGCGATATATTATTAATATTGACTCTGTGACAATGGTCAAAATCTTAAACGGTTTATAAACGTCGATATTAAATTCATTCGCATATTAACTAATGGTAAACCTTGCTTATCGATTAATTCTATTTTGCCTTCTGTCTTTCTATGTTTATGCTAGATTTATTATTAAATCAAGCATCAAGTCTGTGTTTTTTCAATGACTAGACTAAGATAATATGACATTTAGCACATCTTCTTTTGAGATTAATTCATTAATTCCAATAAGTTTGTTATCATACATTGATGAAATGATATGTATAGCAAATAGAAATCAAAGACTAATGTCATATGTTGACTGTCTTTGAATATATATGAAGTATTTAATGATTATATAATCCACAGTCTTAATAAATTATTGTCTGTTTGATCTATATATTGGTTAAATGCATTGCAGCACGTTACAGATGTTTCTTATGTAAAAAAATTATTTATACATGCCCATGACCTCAATATAAGGCTAGAAATATTCTTTGTTATAAGACTCTTATCCGTCATCTGTTACCAAAGCTCATCTATTCATGCCATGAAATAAATTGGTTATTCCACGGTTGTTCAGTGTATAAAGGTTATGACACATAAAAGCAGATGGAACAACAGGCGTATGTATATATAGATGTATATATATATATATCTATAGATTGTCATTTTATTGGTCTCTCCGTCTGTCTGTCCGTCGGTCTAAATCCTACATTAACTTTAGTATACACAACATATTATATGTACGAATAGTTTTGTGTGTACATACTTTGCTCGCTTAAGACGAAGAACAGAGAGAATCAAAGATATCGTTAATGAAGAGGTGCCAATCAACCTCATCCATTTTTTTTCCATAATCGCCTCGTACTATTGAGGATGAAGAGAAAAAAGGAAAAAGAGATAGAGAAAAAAATAATTCTATGATATATAATTCTCTCGCTGCGATCATTCTTTCTTATCCAACATAAATATACATATATATATATACATACATACATATACAATAAAACTTATATACTAGCATTCAGTCGTAAAATACACACAAGATTCTATGGCATCGAAATCGTATATTCTAATTTTAGTAACTATTCTTTCATATTATCAATTGATTAGTATTCGAGTAAGTAAAATAATGAAAATTCTCAGTTCACTATAATACATTGTATAGTATTATTTTCATAATAGAATACAGATATGTAGGTGATCTGGTTATCTATATATCCCATCCATTCAATTCTGACAGACTTAGGCTATTTGAATATGTCGGGGTTTATAATTAGATGATAAATATCTTTGCCCTCGATAGAAACAACACTAATCATGTGCCAACAGCATCCAGACATATATACATGTCTAAAACTAGGTTGCATTGTCAAGATATAAAATACTCCAGTATGATGATATGTACCAAAAGAAAACTACGTCCAATGACTTTTTCGAGCTTAAATGTTAAATAAATAAATATGGATAAGTATAATCCATCAACATGGGAATTCTTTGTGATAATTTCTTCAAAAAAAAACGAGATTTTGAGTAGAAGAATTCTCTTCTGAGATAATTATTGTTTATATTCAGCTGTCGAATAAAACATATACTACTCAATGTCTTGTTACATCATCTCGAAAGCAATAAGATGAACATAATATTTCATTAAGTATAAAAGACAAAAGAAAAACTGATATGTCAAGGAACATTCCATTATTCTGGTTAATGTCTTTTTCTAATTATAATTTCTTTTAGGCAGAAACTGAAACTAAAGTTGAAGTATTACAAAATGATAATGATAAACTTTTAAATGATTTTCAAGGTATACTTTTCTTTAACAATTATATGAAAAAAACACATTTACAGAATCTAAATAGATCGATGTTCAAGTACAAAATGCCGTGAAGGTGAAATGTGTGTTTTAAATAAAGATGGTGATGCTGAATGTGCTTGTGTTACACAATGTGAAGATCCAAAAGATGAACGTTTAATGGTAAAACATAACGGAAAAAAATGAATAAAATTCTATTTATTTGTTTATTAAGGTTTGCACAAAAGCTAATCATACATATACATCTGATTGTGAATTTTTTCAAATGCAATGTTGGTGTCGAAAAAATGATGAACGTTGTACAAGAAAAGAAGCTGTAACAGATACTATTGATTATTTTGGTCGATGTCAAAGTAGGAAAAAAAGAAATGATTTCTTTTCTATTTTCTATTCGCTTCTTTATAGATATTGGTATTTGTACTGATTTTGAATTGGAAGTTTTTCCTAAACGAATGAATACATGGCTTGGTGAAATTCTTGATACATTGGTTTGTTATAAAAAATTGATTGTTTATAATTTTACATCTTTTATTTTAGTATGTTCGTAAAGATCTTGATACTAAATATGCTGTATTAGTTGATGAAGCACGTAAAATGAAATTATCAAATACAGAAAAATGGTGGCGTAATGCTGTACTTTGGGAATTTTGTGAACTTGATCAAACACATGATAAGTAAGTAGAAAAGGAGTTTATTCATATGAATATAATACTTTTAATTTATTTAAAAGTTCGGTTAATAATGAAGAATTAGCACGTTTTGTTCGATCACTTAAAGTTCTTGAACATTGTATTCAACCATTTTTAAATCATTGCGATACTGATAATGACAATAAAATTTCATCCGATGAATGGGGTACATGTCTTGGTCTTGATAAAGGTATAATAATATATGCATATATATTTTTATAAGTTAAATAAATCTTTTTGTATGATTATTTCTAGACGATATGGCTTTCTTAAAAACTTATTGTACTCATTAAACAAAATGATTATTCGGTTTTTGTTAGAGGAACAGTATACCGATTATAATGCTTGAATCTGTGTGTGCATGTGTGTCTTCTAGTGTGCTTAGACATTTTATTATATGTCATTTATCGGAAATAAATATCATTTATATTTCACAATATATAGAGTTTAATCGTTGTTTTGTTATTGTATTCTTATTTGCATAGGTTAAGAATGACGTTGGTATTTCTATGCAGTAGTTTTATGATTATTTTTTTTCGTACAATAACCTTTAATGGTGTTGTTCTCTATTTAGAACATACGTTTCATATTAATTTACTGATCAGAATTGATTTTGACATATATAAATTCAAAATAATACATATTGATAAATCATTTGTCAACGATCAAGAAACACAATTCATGATTTTTTTTCTCTGTTTATTCTTTTTTTTCCGTTGATGATATAAGTCAAAAAAAAGACGTAAATAACAAAAAAATGAAATAACAACAACTAGAACAACAACAACAACAACAACAATAATAGTAATAATAATAATAATAAGAAGTACCGAGAAGAAAAATGACTAAAGACATGAATAGATGCGTGAAAAAAATATACTTCTATCGTCACATCAACGCATGTTTTATGCTGCCAATGAGATTTCATACAAGTATTTTTTTCGAGTTTTTTTTTTTTTTTGCTTAAAATATAATCCATTGACTACATACTATGAATAGATAAAGAAAAGAAAAGAAAAAAGGAAAAAAAAGAGATGTCTTCATTTTAAAAAACATTGCCCCCACTGATTTTTTTTTACTGTTTTTGTTTTAAATTAACTTCACTTATAACTGAAATACCACCACTTGTACCATGCGATTTATTCCAATCCGTAACACATAATGTACCAGTTGATAAAAATGTTAGTGAATATGGTTCTTGAATTGATTTACATTTATATTCTTCAATATTTGAATCTTTATCAATTGAAACTAAACGATGATTGAGTTTATCTGGTATTAAACATTTTTTAGCTGTATCAACATAAATTGAATATGATTGTAATGATTGAGGAATATTATATGTTGATTTGGGTGTTGCATTAGCATTATCATATTCATGAAGATGACATTTATCTTGACGATGTGTCAATACAAATGATGTATCATTGCCTAAGAAATATGCAGCATAAGGATAAACTTTTTGATAAAGTTGAGGTGTTTGTTGAAGTAAATGATCTTGTGTTGAATCATGAAATGACCATACACCAATTTCAGCAAGATTAGCATCAAGAAAAACAATACGTTCACCCGATGGATCACATGCTAAATACAAAAAAACAAAAATAATATAAAATACAGATTTAAAAATATACAAAAAAATATTGATATATTTTCATATAAGCTCTTATGATTATAGACCAATAATATGGTATATATTTGATCATGATTATATAGTATCTCTAGGCCATCATAAGAAACTCTATTATCATTATTATTAATCTGTCAATAAAAACCCTTAAAAAAGTATCTGGTGTTTTCTTACTGATAAGACATTCTATATAAATAAACTATCATTTTATTCAACAAGAAAAATTTATCTAAACATCTCTTAAGTTACAAAGATCTAACGCAGGGTGTATTACGAGAATATTTTTTTCTAATAATAGTCGTGGGAGCTATTCAGTTCTGAGATGAAGAGACTTAAGTCTAAGAATTTGTATAAAGTAATCACATGTCACGTAAAGCTCGATTTAAAATCAAGGTATTACTAGCATGTTTCTTAATTGAGGATTTTCATAGGATAAAAATATTCTTCTGAACTTGCAGTACTCGTTCAACTCATATTCCATCTAGATATTCAAATGTAATGTTCATATAGTATCTTTTATCTTGGGCTTTCTGTAGAAGATTTTCGGCACAAACAATCTTATTTAGTTCTAAGTAGGAGGAGTTTATATCGATTTATCATTAACCATACCACTGGCCATTTGATGCGACAAGCCATATGGCATCTCCTTTCACGTCATAGACTTAAAAATCATTAACTGAAATAGGCGTTAACGAATCTGAAAAAATCATGCGCTAAGAGTTCTCTGTGCGAGGCGAACAAAGTCATATGATACCTATTGTCAAGCTTCTGCAAAATCGAATCGGTTCCATCATATTTATTTCAATATTCTACACAATCCCAACGAGCCCAATGTTATTTTTCTCTATATATTAGAAATAAACCGACCTTTATTTATGATTGATTTTCACTAATATCTAAAGGATAATCAAACTTTAAGGACAAAATAACCGTAAATTGTTGTATCAGATCAATTTGAAAAGATTAGAATTTGAATAAAATAAAAATTATTGATTATCTATAAATCACATACCTGCGTAAACACCGCGATCTTCAATAAATTGAATATTCCATGGATAAAATCCCCGACTTTTACTTCTGATAAGAACTTTATTTGTAGTTAAATCTAAAATAACTGCTTCTTTTCTTGTTGCAACAACAGCTTGTGTTGTTGATGCTGCTGCATTAAAAATAACAGCTTTTGGTGTTGGTAAATCTTTAAAAATATGATGAACAACTCCTTTAATATCAATAAGTAAAACCGAATCTCGATCAAAATTTGCCACTAATAAACGATCATCTGGTAAAGCACATATGCCAGTTGGTGCACCAAATTTGCCATTTTCACGATCAAAACTGCATGAAAGTTCGGATATAAAATAATCATGTTTATATTTTTTTAAATCATAAATTAATTCTTTTTTGATTGTTGTCTCGGAATCAGTCGATGTTGTTGTCGTTGTTGATGTTGATGTTGCTGTTGTTTTTGTTACCTCAGATGATGGTGTAAACGCTGGAGCATCACACTAATAAAAATAATAATAATAAATTTATATAATTTTATTTTGATATACATACTCGCATGGTTACTTTTGATCCTACATTTAATGATTGAAGTTGATCGGCAACTTGTTCAACATTCTAATTTAAACAATGATCGTAGGAAAAAAACAAAGAAAGAAAAAAAATTACTGTTGGTGGTTGAAATGAACTTTGTAATTGTCGTTCTGTAAGACCATCATCATTAGAATTGACTTGTTCTTTTGATACTTCAGTTGAAGATGTATTTTGATTTTCCGTGACTGTATTCGACATGACTATCTAATAGTAAATATAATCACACAAAAATATAAATAATGAATTCGATGTATGATGATGCATCACGAAAAAATAGCGATTCTAGTGACTTCAATAGATATTTATTTTAGATATTTCTATAGAGATATAATGAAAAATAAATTTTTAAGAGAATTTTCGAAATATTTTTTTTATTTATTATTTTATTATTTTATTAAATTATTTTCAGATTTTTTCATTGGCTGAAATTCCAGCCAATCGATAAAAAGTTCTGTTTATTTTTTTTTTCCTATATATTATTTAATTTTTTTTTTCTACGGAAATAGATCAAAATGTTTCCTAATGCAGCACCAACGGAACCAAATCGGACTTCTCTCCCACCGGCCGCACCAGTTTCCAATTGGAGTGTTGCTTTATATCGAAAAGCTGAACCTATTTTACCGTTAAATCCTGCAGATGTTTCCCAAACGCCAGCTCCACAACAAACCTACGGCTCGTTCTATATTCAACTTCAGCAGCAAGCTAGTTCAACATCACCGAGCCGTTCAGATGTACTTTATTTTCGATATCAAGCACAACAACAAAGAAATAGTGCAGATTCCTACACATTACCATTTACAATAAGTCAGTTAAGTGATATGAAATTAGTAGCCGATACAGCACCAATTTCATCGACATCGGGACGATCACCATCGAATGTTGATCAACAAGCAGGTGAGAAAACAATGAAAAAAAGATTGATTTCCTATGTCATAGAAATACTAGATAGTACAAGGAGAAGTTATATTTGAATAAAACCTGTAAGCACACATCGACAGGTTAATAATTTGCAAACATCATTAAATATTATATGAGTTCTGAAGCCTTCTAATTGAACAAATAATGATCTGTATAAGTCAATATAACAAAAATAGATCATTGTATTATTTAATTAGCTATGTTGAGTGCTACACTTAAGTGTTTGCCGTTGAGTATTATGCCTGTTTCTTTATACAAAATAACAACATACTTAAAGAATAATCTAATTAATGTATTTTATTTTCAAAGGTTTAAATGATTCATCAGATATTCCACCGACATTACTTTTACGTGCAAAAGCTTTTCTTGGTGTTTTGGTATTGAACAGTTCAGGAAATAGTATTACAGCTAATAGTTCGTATAAAATGTTTTTTAATTATTTTATTCGAAAATCATACATATTTGTTTATTTAGCTGCTGGTATTATTCGACCTTTTTTATTATTTTCAACTGAAGAAGTATTTATTGGACAATTATTTGATGCATATATTTTTCGTATGAAAATAGAAATTTATAGTTATATATTCATATTTTCTATTTAAAGGTATTTCACAAGTAGCAACTATTTCTATGCGAGATAATCCAGAAGATGAAGTTTATGTTTCTGGAATAAAGTAAAAATTAGTTTTAAATTAGTTTTGTATATTTTTTTATTTCTATGGAAATATTTAGAAAACTATTTCAAGGACGTTGTTTTTATTATGCAACATATATGAAACCAGAATTAAATACGAATAAACCTTATTTTAATAAGCCATATGATATAACATTATGTGCTCAACGAATGATTCAAGGACATGATTCTGATATCCGATTTTATTGGTTTGTTATTATTTAATTATAATTTTTAAAATCAAAAATTTTTTTTTATTTAGGAATCGTGGTTTATGTTTACCATTACTTAAATATAACATTGACATTCGTTATTGGATACCGAAAGTATTATGTGGTGGAATTGAAACACATAGAAATGCAAATGAAGATGTTGAATTATGGTTAATATCAAGGTAGATTAATTATGAATTTTAAGAGATGGATTATTTTTATGATATTATTTAGATTAAGTTGCGAACGAGCTGGCACACGATTCAATGTTCGAGGTGTTAATGATGATGGAGCCGTGGCAAATTTTGTTGAAACAGAGCAGGTGAGAAAAGATAAAAAAGAATTTAACCCAACCTGTCAATTAGTGAGATTGAGTAGGGTGTATACGATAATTATAGACGTTATTACCTAGAAATAATAAGACTGATTCTTTTGTTACATGAAGAGTTCGGTTTAATTATATACTTCTTCAGAAGTTATTGAGTGTTTACTTTCGATTCCCGATGAAATATGTACGCATAAGGTTTCAAGCATTCTTTCGTTTTCAATACTTGAATGAAGTATTGTATCAATCAATTATCAAATTTTCATTTTCTTTCGATAATTTTCTAAAAAAAAAATGCCGATATAAATCATTTAACTTTATTTAATTTCATAAATATGATTAATTAAAGTATATATATATATTAGATTAGCCCAAGGCATACATTAGTATTATTGAATTATAAGGATTCTATAAATAGAATACATATTTTTTTTAAGATTGTTTTTCTTCCTCGACAAAATAATTATTCATCATTTATTATTGTTCGTGGTTCAATTCCACTTTTTTGGCATCAACCACGTTTTCAAGTATCGTATATCTTCAATTTTTCCTTATCAAATAAATATTTCTATGGTTCTATTTAGGTTGGCGCTCATCGTATTACAATATCACGTAGTGAAGCATTAAGTTTTAAATCATTTTTCGAGTAAGTTATATTTAACGAATATTTTAACCGAAAAAAAATAATTCTTTTAATAGACATTTTAAACATCTTTATCGTCATTATGGTCGTGTATTAATTATAAATTTAGTTGATCAACGTGATGATGAAAAACGTGTTGGAGATGAATATCGTCAATTATTTAATTTACTGGTTAAAACATACCAATCGAAACAAAAAAAAGAAAAAAAATTACTTAATTATTTAAATGAAAATGATTTTATTTGGTTTGATTATCATGAACAAGCACGTCAACTAAAAGGTTTTACACCGGAAAGATTTGTTGATAAAGTACTTATACAAAATAGTCAATATTCTATCGGACAAGAATTAGAACAACAGAATATATTTACTTATATGGATGGAAAAATGATTAGTCATCAAAAAGGCGTTTTTCGTATAAATTGTATTGATTGTCTTGATAGAACAAATAATGTGCAATTAACACTTGGAATGGTTGTTTTAACAATGCAATTAGCAAGTTTAAAAAAACAAGTTGATCATAACAATTTAGTTGAGCGTATTAAAGATATGTGGATTAATAATGGAGATAATATTAGTAGAATTTATACTGGTACTGGTGCAATCGGACAAAGGAGCAAAGTAAATAACAGATTTTATTTAAATAAAAAAATTGTGATCACAGGTGCAGAATCTTCCTCGTGTACCCCGCGCGGGGAGGGAAATTTTTGAAAAATTGCGTTTTTCAGGGAAAATCAGAAAAATGTGGGGAAGTTTTCAGAATTTAGCTTGGGAAATTTTTCGAATAAAATTCCCCGGAAGTGACACTTTTTGATTTTTTGGAAGCTTCCGCACCTCTGGCAAATAGACGCAAGTAATAGTTCACTGTTTTCTTGATTCACCAAACCAGTTTAGTAAGCGTGCCTGTGACCCAAAACATTAAATAACCGAGTTTATGCATCCGACAAATATTTAGAATGATGACTTTACAGTGATATAATAGTGCCGATTTCTTCTATATCTGGATGTATTGGATAAACAGAATAGAGCATCGATTTCTACTAACCATATGAGAATGGAACAATACATATTTATTACTAAGAATCCGATTTTTTGTTTTCTAGGCAAAAGATATTCAACGTAGTCTTGGTCGAGCTATACAAAATAGTTTACGTGATGATGAAAAACAACAATCAATGCAAACATTAATTTATTCCTATGCAAAAGATTCATATCTACATGAACGTTCTGTTGCTGCTCTTCTAACACCATATGTCATATGTAAAAATACATTTCCTATTTTATTTCTTATCAATAAAATTCTATTTTAATCTCTCTAGCGGATGGTATTATATTAAGTGAAATGTATCGAATACGGCAACAATTTATTAAAAAAGAAAAAATTCGCATATCTATTGGTACATGGAATATTAATGGTGATAAAAATCCAGCTTTAGAAGATGCATATCCATCTATTCTTAATTCATGGATATTGGATGGACCAGAAAGTATGTCTGCTAAAGATCGAAAAGATATGCCGGATGCTATTCCAACAATGGGTATGTTATCAAAAAAAAAGAAGAAAGAACAGATATTTAAATAAATAGTTTCTTTCAGGATTTGTTGCTGATGGTTATACAAAAAAAATGCCTGATATATTAGCTATTGGATTTCAAGAAATATGCGATTTAACAGCATCAAATATGGTCTGGCAGAGGTATGCTATGAATTTTATAAGAATACAGACGTACATGAATTTTTGATAAGATAGCAAATTACGCAGAATTGCAGTCTTGCACTTTCATCTCTTTATGAAAAAAAATTTTTCTATCATATTCAATGTAAGCTATTTATAGATGGATTTAAATTGCTGAATCTCGTGAAAGATTACAATAGATATCTGATAAGAAATAGAGAGTAAGTATGCGACACAATTGATTGATATATTCCCGACGAGAGAATATTTTAGTTGAGAAATCAGACAGGCACGTCAACATTCCGTAGGGTGTATTGATCAAAAGTACAGAAAAGTTATTTATACTGTCCTGTATACAAAAGTTTGATTGGTTTTGAATAAATCAAAAATATTTTTATTTCATTAGTTCTGTTAATGCAACTCGTTGGGTTGATAATGTTGAAGCACATTTTAAAAAATCTTATCCAAATGATGAATATATTCTATTGGGTAATGATCAACTTGTTGGAGTTTGTTTGGCAATATTTATTCGACGTGATCTGGCACCATTTGTTAAGTATGTTTTAAAAAAAACATTTTTTTATCTTATTATGTAATATTTAATTTTAATCATATAGAAATATTGTTGTTGATTCAGTTAAAACAGGAATGGGTGGTAAAATAGGCAACAAAGGATGTGTAAGGCTATATATTATTTCTAATTCTATGATGTATGAATTTTAATTTAGGTTGCTATTCGTCTTGTTTTATATAATACATCAATTTGTTTTATATGTGCTCATTTTACAGCAGGACAAAATGAATTTAATGAACGTAATAAAGATTATAAATCTATTATGGAAAAACTCTCGTTTCAACCACCATCACGAGCATTATGGCATGATCATATATTTTTTCTTGGTGATTTTAATTATCGTCTAACAATTCCACGTATGCAAGTTGAACAATTCGTTAAAGCGAATGCTTATAAACAATTACTTGAATATGATCAATTAAAAAAAGAACATACTGAAGGACGGGTAGGTTAATTTTAATTATATAAAACAAACATTCATTAATTTTTTTGCTTTTTCAGGTCTTTCGAGAATTTCTTGAAGGTCAAGTTAATTTTCCTCCAACATATAAATATGATGTTAATTCCGATGAATATGATACAAGTGAAAAAGCACGTACACCATCATATACAGATCGTATACTTTGGCGTAGTATCAATCCTGATATTTGTACAAAACAATTATATTATGGACGTGCTGAAGTAAAGACATCGGATCATCGTCCTGTAAGCTCAATATTTGATGTTGAAGTTGAGAAATGTGATGAAATAAAAATGCATCAAGAATATATTAATATATACAAACGATTTCAACCTTCACATGCACAAATGATTATTCATATAAAAACTGAAACTAATTTACGTAAAAATCAATTAATTGAAGAATTTGATATGTATATTAAAAAAAATTATGGATTAGATATTGTTATTGTCGATAGATAGTAAGTTACATATTATTGAAAAAATAATTAGAAAAACATTTGTGTACGATTTAGTTTTACAACACATCATAAACATCTTTTATTGAATGTGTTTTTCGAGAATGGTGAACAAGCACGAAAAGTTTCCGAACCCAAAAATGATCAGGTAAATAAACTCTTTAAATCTTGTAAGATTGGACCAACAGATAAACTTCAGCCACTAGGATTGAAGCACTTTTTAATACTTTCATCTAGAGTCCTGCACGAGTGCAAGTTTTTGTACTCGAACCGGCTCTATTTTTTACGCCCGAAACTGGACTGGGGTAAGTCAACCGGGTACTCGAACCCATGCTCCGGGTCGGACCGGATTGCAGAACACTACTTTCACTAGTCGATAGAATCCGTTGGTATCTGTCACGGCACTTACCGTGATATCCCATGAGTCAAGGAATTACTGACTCATGTGTGTATGATTGAGATTCTTGAGTTATATACATATGAGGGCTTTGCTTTTGCTTTGGAGACCCGATTCTCTCTCACTATCTTTTCTCGTGATTGGAATAAAATCGTCACAGTATCGGATAATCATGTGTTTCTATTATATACTATTATTGAGAGAACTAACCTTTTTAATTTTAGAATTACTTAGTTAATTCAATATCTTATAATTTTTATCTTTATTTTTTAGCTTCCAAATGGCTTAAATTTTAGTAAACGTTTAGTAAATATGAATGAAGACTTTGCTTTAGGACAAAAAATTAATCTTCTTTTTGCTGATGCTAACGAAACTATGTTTCCAGAATCTACTGCTTAGTAAATCTTCTTATCTATAATATAAATTCTAATTCTTTTTCTTCTTTAGTGATCTTGGTTCTTATCAACAACCATCTCCTGATGCACTTTCAACCATGCAAGATGTAACAGTCGCTGGCGTGGGTAAGAAAAATATATTTTTACTTTTTCATTACAATAAAATCTCTAGCGCGAACTATATCTGATATGATGAAAATAATCGCAATGGAAAATCTAACTTCTCCATCAACAACACATAAAAAATATGGACGCATTTCAATGCACAATTTTGATCCGTCTAAATTGACTGGCAGTAAGGGGAAATGTAGAAGAAGAAAAATAAAACAGAAACTTACTAATTTATTTCTAATATGGAGATGGTTCATATATTAACATGTGCATGAGATTCACAAGTCAACGAATGACAATAATTATTATAATTTATTCTGCTCTTCTAGTTGTTGACGCAGCAAATGTTTCAATAACAACATCAGATATAGATGATAATCATCAACAAAGAGAAGATGATATTGAACAATTACAAGAAATTAAAGAAGCACAACGTGTATTTGAACAACGTCGTCGTACATATGGAGATATATTTAATCATGATTTTGATTCCGATTCCGATGAAAATAATGATGATTTAAAACAAAAAAGTTCAAAATCATCATCAGATAGTGATAGTGATGCACCGACATCAACTGATACTGATTCACCATATGGTTCAGATTCTGAATCAAGTTCATCTTATGATGAATATCATGCTATAAGACAAATTCCAAAAAAGAAAATACATGGACATCATAAAGGTCCATTGAAATCATATTTTGAAGAAAGAATTGGTAATTGGCCAAAATATCGTTATAAAAAATATAAACGACGTCATATGAAAAAACATGGAATTGAAATAAATTATGGAAATATTCATACAAAAGAAATAAAACGTTCATTAAAAGATGAAAAACATCAACGAAAAAACTATGAAAGCCAACTTACTAACGTATCAAATATGATGGAACCTGTTGTAAAAAAAATGTCGTTTATTTCATTAGATCCTGAACATCCAATGATACCTGCTGAATTAGAAAAAGTATCAGTACTATCAACTAAATCTGTTGAAAGTGAAGATAATCATCATACAAAATCACCATCGACTTATAAAAAAATGAAACAAAAATTTAAAAAAACTTTTAAAAGAAAACATAAAGTATCAGCTTCTCAAAAGACCGACGATGAAGAACAGTTGGCAACAAACAGTGATGCGGCTAGTTGTGCAAGTGCCGGTGACGATATTCGTAATTCGCATCACTCATTAGATAAAGTTTAAATATATTATATCCATCGCATCAGATAACTTTAATTAAGGGTCTAGAAAAATTAGTCGTGACAAATATTGATCGATAGCTTTATAATAAAATACTAAGATTATTTCAAAATGAATCGATAGATAAGATTTGAAAAAAGGCAGTAGATTTATTAATGCTTTAAAAATGACTAATATTTTATTAAACGTAATTTTCGTAAAAAAATTAGTTTGTTCCCTTTTGCATGGCTATACTTTTCTTCAAAAGATCTTTCTGTCTAATAATACAGCATTTGAACTATATGTTTCTTTTGTATAATAATCATCTTGTTATATTTATTATCAATCTGTTGATCGATATTTGTCTCGCCGATTTTTTCATTTTCCTTTGTGGTTTAATGCATATGTTATCGCTTTTTCTTTCTTCGTGTTTTTGTCTTATACTAGTCACGCACATAACTTTTTCTTATATTCGGTTTATGCATATATGTTATACGATAATAAAACGACTCTTTTCTCTTTTTTGTTTTTTTTCAAAATCGAAATATATATGTAATAATGTCTATTTCTTTTTAGTTGCTGATGAGAAATCTGCAGATGACACAATTGGGAATCAACGTCAATATAGTGTAGGTGAATTAATTTCATTTGCATCATTGGACATTCCAGATGAGACGAATTTACAACCACAAACAACAGACGTAAGTTTAATAAAATGGAAATATTTTTTTAGAATTTATATTTTAGTCATTATTCAATGATGATTGTTTTGACCCATTTAATCTTTATAATAAATCAACATCAAATAATTCTGACATAAGTAATTTTAGTTTCCTATAAAATCTAATTTATTTTTATTTTTCGAAATTAGATGACAATAGTTTTTCATTTTTCGAACAACAACCACCAGCGGCAACAGCTTCTATGTTTCCTGTTGATCCATTTGGTATGTCTATTCAACCTGTACGAGATACAAAATCACCATTAAATATGTTTTCTTCAACTTTAACAAATACAAATAATAATTTTTTTGTTCAATCTCAATCACAATTGATTCCTAATCGAATAGTAACACCTTCACCAACAAATATTAGTATTCCATCAAAACCGGTAACAGTTAAAAATCTAAGTATAAATCTACCAAATAAAAAAAATGAAACAGTTACCGATTTACTCGATTTTGGCGAACCAAATCCACCAGCACCACCACCACCAGAAAGCCCAAAATTTGATCCATATGGTTAATTCTATCTAGTCAATATTAATTATATATTATTATTATTTTACCCATTGATATATGTTAGTGTACCCTATATGTCAATGTCACAATTTATGTTTTAATCAGATTTCTATGCACATACAAATTTTTTTTTATTTTGTAAAAATCTCATCGTACAAAGCCTTGGCATTTTTTTTTTTGTCTTTTCAAATACGTACTTATTTGTTTTGTTTGTGTATATGTATTCTAGTCATAATCATATCCTTTCTAGTCATTCCGGATTACTTTTTCCAATGTATTGTCATTTTATTTTTGTTTATAGATGAAATTCGATGATTTTCTTGCGACAGTCGATGATTGGGGTAAATTTCAAAAAATTAAATATGGTCTTATTTGCTTGACATATATGTTACCACCAATAATGGTATATACGTATACATTTACAGCAGCAGTACCTAACTTTCGATGTCAAGATTCTGATATGCTGTTTGATGATGGTTATTTTGCTGAAGCAAATACTAATTATAATTCAAAATATTTACCAACTCAAGAACAATGTACACGTGCAGATAAACTTTTATCACTTAAAGAATGCCAACGTTGTTATATACAAACAAAACCAAAATTTAATCAGACAGCAAATCGACCAGATAGTAAAATAGAAAAATGTAATAAACATGTATTTGAAAAAATTCATTATGACAAAACTTTAGTTGAAGAAGTAAAAATAATCTCCAGATGTTTATATTTTAATTGCTATTGTTTATCTTTAGTGGGATATAGTTTGTGATCGTATTATCTATCGTTCAGCAGCACAAATAGTTTTCTTTGTTGGATATATGGTCGGTTCGGTTGTTTTTGGCATATTAGCCGATAAGTAAGTTTATAACAAAAAAAAAAACACAATATTTTACCATTTTTATTTTCATCTGATAGATATGGACGTCGTCCTATAATGAGTGTTAGTTTTATTCTATTGACTGCATCTGGATTGTTATGTGCATATGGTCCTCACGCTGCATTAGGATTTTGGCCATCATATATTATATTTGTACTTTCTCGATTTTTAATTGCATGTGCAACACGAGGAATTTCCGTTTCTGGTTTTGTACTTGGTTCAGAAATAGGTAAGGAGAATATCGATTATTTTATTTTTAAATTAATCGAATTTATTTTCTATAGTTGGACCGAGTAAACGCTTATTAACTGGAATTGTCATTGAATATTTTTTTGTATTTGGTCAATATTTTCTCGTGGCTTTTGCATTTTTTATTCGAACATGGAGAGCATTAACAGGTGCTATTACATTATTTACTGTACCATTTATGTTCTTTTATTTGTAAGTTAAAAATTTTAATCTAAAACAAAAACTAATCAAATCTATTTTAGTATATTACCTGAAAGTCCTCGTTGGCTTGTTAGTAGAGGACGTTTTGATGATGCTGAAAAAGTTTTACGTAAAATTGCAAGTGACAATAAACGAGATTTTGACCCAAATAAATATCAACAATTAAAAGAAGAACAACAAAAAGTTTGCTGAATAGAAATTTTTATTTTCCTATCAACTGTTTGATTTTTTTATTTATTAGCATATGAAAAGTACACAACATCAACAAGGTATAATGAGTTTATTTAGGTCAAAAATAATGTGTATTATTAGTTTCAATCTATTTCTGCAATGGTAAATTTTATTTCGAATTTTCTTTTCAAAATATTTTATTTGAATGTTTAAGGCTCGTACAAAATCTTGTATTTTACGGTGTTTCACAAAACACAGGTAAATACTTGTTTTTTTATTGAATATAATTCTAAATTTTATTTTCAATTTCATAGGATCATGGGATTTAAATCCATATTTATCTTTTGCACTTAGTGCGACAGTCGAATTAGTTGCTTATATTGTCGTTCATCTTATACTTGATCGTGTTGGTCGTAAACTACCTTATTGTTTATTTTCTATGCTATTTGGAATAATTGCACTTCTTACTATACCTGTCCAAAAATACATGCCTAGTAAAAATACTGTTTTGTTAGAAAATATTAAAATTTTCTCGTTTTTTTTTTATTTTAGAGCAAATAATATTAATGACTATAATTAATTTATTATTGAAATTTTTAGCATCAGGATCATATGCTATTATTTATATTTATGCTAATGAATTATTTCCTACAAATGTTAGAAATACAGGCATGGGTATTTGTTCGATGGTTGCACGTATTGGTGCTATTATTGGCACATTCTGTAATGATTATTTAGTGAGTTATTATAAATAAATTAAGTTTGATTGATTTTTTGATTTATTTAGACACGTATTTGGATTTATTTGCCAATAGTTCTCTATGGTATTGTTTCACTTATATCGGCAATATTAGCTTTAATGTTTCCTGAAACATTAAATAAATCATTACCACAAACAGTTGAAGATGTTGAACGAATGGGCATTATTGGGTAAAATTATTAATAAATTGTAATGTAAATATATATATATATATATTGATTTATATTTAGTATGAAAAAAAAACAATTTACAAGTACACTTCCTGAAAGTGAAGCATTAACAGGGAATAATGAGGATATAATACTCAAGGAAAATATACAAGCAAATGATATTTCTGATAGTAAAATATAGCTCAAGTATTCTTTTTTTCATCTAATTTTTTTGTTCCAGTATTTACACTATATATCTGTGTTCGTGTGTGTGTGTGTTTTTTTTTTCTAAATATTTCGCGCTCAGTATTATTTGGAATTGTTTTTGTTTGTTTGTCTGTATTTACTTTTAAAGACAATAAATATAGAATAGTTAGACATTAATAATTTATGTATTATTTATAATATTATACTATAAATATGACTGTCACAGTATGTGGCCATATAAATCTTTGGTTATTTTCGAATAATATCGAGTTGGGTCAGTGCATCTATTCTATTTATTTAAAGACATCTAAATATAAAGTTGATATTCGAACTGTATCAAATGAACATATTTATGTACTAAATCGGTTAAATATAAAACAAGTTCAGTGTAATCGAATTTTCATCAAAGAATAGAGCAAAGCTTGTTTTGCATATGTATAGAATACAATTATAATTTGTATGTGCCAACTGTTATTTTATTTTATTTTTTTCTTCTTCTTCGTAAAAAATATTGCTAAGCGTGTGTGAGCTGTGTTGTATTGAGATCCAATCTTTTTCTTCTTTTATTATATATACTCTGTTCTTTTACTATCGAAAAAATGAAATAAAACACGGTGTTGTTTTTTTATGATTCGAAATATATTGAGAGGCAGGAAGCCACAAAATAACACACAAATTAATAAAAAAAATCGAAAAGAAGAAAAAAAAGTGTTAATAAATTATTCTCACAAGTTTCCTATAATATTTGCGATTGTTCACTTTTTTTTTAATACTATTTCTTTTAAAAAAGAAAAAAAAACCCGCAAGATTTTATTGTGGTTATCATTCAGTGGGTTTTTTTATTTTTTGTATTTGTGTTTGTCATTGCGGTAAGCAACTTTTTTCATAATACCTTTTCCTTTTTCTTTTATCGTGATATATATATATTCAAAATTTGTTTTTGCTTTCAAAATAATTTATTCTTTCTTCTAAACTCAACAGAATAAAAGCAAGACTATGTACATGAATTTGCTTTCAAAAACGACCGCTAGGTTTTTTTTTCATATACATAGAAGTATATATGTATGTAACTAAGGAAAAAAAAATCAAAGAAATATACGTTAAAAATCATTCGTCATGCTAATTTTCATTTTCAAGTTTTACCAAAGGTTACAAACACACGAGTTTTACCTTTAATATGTGTGTGCATCTTATCTGCACTTAAAGAAAAAGAAAAGATGAGATGCGTAAATGCTCTTTCTATTCGAGCACAAAAAAGAAACTCTTATTTTTTTTGCACCTATCCTTATATATATATGTATGTATATACGTATATATATATATATGAATGTATACATGTATATTTCTCTTTTGTCAAGAGGAATTATGTTCGCTACAGCTCGTCAAGAAAAAAAAATGAAGGAGAAAAAGCCGACGACCACTGGTGATGGTGGTGATGGTGGTAGTGGTAGTGGTATTTGTTGTTATTCTTCTTCGACGACGAGATGCAGCATAAAGTATACCCTACACACTTAAGAAAAAAAAAAGGGAGGAGACGACGAGATTTGTTTTCTTGTTCTCTCTCTCTCTTACTCTCTTTCTTTCTTTCAAAAAGAAAATAAAACAGACAAACAAACCGACTGCTAGTTTTGTAGCTGACGGCAAACACCTGAGAACAAGTGTGAGATTGCATTTCATCATTAACGTAGTTTTTTTTCTTTTCGTGGTAAGTACTGATCTGGCTTAGGTTATCGATTTTAACATGAAAAGAAACATTTATGATCTTAATATGAATCGGTCATACAATGTACTTTGTTTACATATGTTATGTTGTAAAGTGTACCACTCTATTCTCTTTTTTTCTTTTTCTAGTTATTATCAATCGCTTAAATTTTATCTTCGATTTATAAAATGAGATATTAGTTAATTTGATTATATTAGACAAAACAAAATTTTATTATAATGACTATTCGTCAACAATATGCTAATGAAGAATTGGTACATAAGCTTCGATCAATGCTTCATGATTTACCAACACTTCGTACACGTGCGATTAAAAAATTAGAACATTGGAGAGAAGCAGCCATAAAACGTCTTTTAGCTCGACAACGTGAATTAGAAAAAACTTTATTAGATAAATTCGAAAGACTTGAATTTGATACCCAATTATTTGTTGAAAAAACCGAACGTAAACGTGCTCAACAACAACGACGTTGGCAAAGTGAACCATTAGATTATCTTAATAAAAATGAAATTGATCGTATATCAACAAGTTTAAGATCAATTCGAGAAGAATTAGAACAATCAAAATTAATTTTAGCTGGTAGTCTTATTAATGAGAATATTGCTGAATTATCATCTGATGATCATAGACAAGATAAATTAGCAGAAACATCACGTTATACAGACAATTTATCAACAAAAACAGCTGTACATAAAACTTATGAATCATCATCAACATCATCAATAGGTAATGACCTTAATTCGGAATTAAGACGTGTCTTAGAAATTTGTACAAGTCCACAATATTCATCATCATCGTTATCAGCAGATGAGGTAATATTATTTTTTTTCAGTAGTTTTTATTTCTTTGAGAACACCAAAAAAAATTGCACCCTAACAGAACGACGACAATTTCTTATCACATACGAATAAAATCCTTTTTATATCCATTCTTATCAAAATAATCTGACTAGGTCATCATCAACAACTTTTTTTTATGTTTACCTATATAAGTTGTTTTTTTCCATTTCTATAAACAAATTAAATATTCTGTTTGCATGATAAAATTTAAAGTCAAAATTATCCATAAGTGCTTTGCCTAACTAAATAAACTATGGTTTCGCGTTCTATCAAAAACTCGAAAAATAAAAAACGAGAAGAAGAAGAAGAAGAAAATTGTGAATATTTTATAATAGACTTAAGTACTTTTTAATTCAAAAGGACGAAGTTTGTTAACACCTAGATTTATTTTATATCTTTAGCAAACACATTTACAATCCCTTGATCATGCTGAATATGCTTATGATGCTAAAGCTAAACAAACAACAGCTACAGCAAGTAAAACCTATCAACAAAAACGTGCTAATCATACAAATGATAAAAATCGTCGACATGCACGTATAATAACAGATGTACCATCTGAACAACAACAACAACAACAACAACAGCAACAAGAGAATACATCACCCAATAATAATCATAAACTATTTGCATTTGAGTCATTCGATGATTCTATAAGGCGTTATCAAAGATTAAGAGAAATAAGAAGAAATTTACGAAATAAATATGATGATCATAGTTCACAACAAACAAAAATTGATGAAACTTCTCAAACAATTGATATACCAGTTGAACGAGTTACTTCCTCTCCGCAACCATCAGATCCACATATATTTCGACAAAATGATCAAATAAGAAATAGTGCGAAGATACGTGATAGAAAATATCGGTCAAAAACACTTGAAGGTAATCATTTACGAGCTGTTGATAATCAAATTTATGGATGTTCATCAACATCATCAACATTAAAAACAAAACATGATACACAGAATCGATCTGATTTACGTAAACGTCATACTAATCATTTATCATTTCGTCGTTCAACTGATGATGTTCGAGATAGACAAACACATGTAAGAAGAAATTTAGATTCGACATATAGCAGTTTGAATGGTACATGGCTTGAAATTGGACAGGAACATTGGACGAATTTATTAGAAAATGGTTGGAGACCAACAACAGATACACCTGGTGTTAATCTTGTTTCATTTAATGATTCAGGTAAAAAATAATTTTCTGATTTTTGTTTTTTAATTATTTATTTTCTATTAGATAATTATGGATCAAATAAACAAGATAATGATGAAATGCCTGTTATTGATCTTTTCGAACAAATATCACGAAATGAATATATGGCATTATTTAATCAAATTGAATTTTCTTATTCACGTACAATTGATTTAGGAATTGAATTTTGGCGTTTTCTTGAAATCAATGGAACTCAACATTTATGTCTTTATCATCAACTTAATAAACAATTTATATTATTTAAACCAGATATATCACTCTTATCTTTTCCTTGGTCATATGATGGCATTATTGATATATCATGGTCAAAATCAACAAGTACATGGGTTGTGGCTACACAAACACAAATTGTATGTATATTAAGTTTTATTTAATAAAAATAAAATTTCCTTTCCCTTTTATTTAGATTATAAGCAATCGTTCATTTAATAAAGTTTTTCAAACAGTTGATATCAAAGGTGATTGGCCTAAACGTATTACATCATGTCGATCATCTATATTTCATACATACAAACTTCCGACTTCTTCCAATACAACTTCATATTCTCGTTTATCCACGAAAGATCGTCCACAATTTTTACTTGAACGTTATGATTATAAATTAAAATCTATATGTAAACATATTCTTGAATCATCAACAATATGGGATATTGAAGCAGATGATCTTACGGAACATTTAGCTGTTCTATGTGATTTTGCTTTACTTATATTTGATTATCAATTGAATTTATTAAGACAAATAGAAGTAACTGGTTTTAAAGTAAGTACAGATCATTTTGGTGGATGGTTAATTGCTGATTATAATAATTCATGTATATGGCAAATAAGACGAAATGAATATTTAAAAGCAAATAAAATTTTAAGTGTTGAGCGACCATGGTCTGTTATACTTGATCGATCATCATGGACATTAGTATTACTAAGTGAAACACAAAATCGTGCTAAACGTTTATTATTTTTTTCTATGAAAAATGTTCCTGATTCGATTCAATTAAATGATTTATCATCAGCACAATCTCAACTTTCATTGTCATCATCATCTTCGATGTCGGAATCTTTTTTATAAAAGAAAACAAAAAATACCCAATTATATTTACATAAATATATATCTATCTATTTGTAATAATGAAGTTCTGTTTTTCTTTTTTTCATTTCATTTTTTCTTTATTTTATTCTATTTTCTTTTTCTTTCTTTTTATTATCATTCTTGTTGTTGTTGCTGCCGACTTCTTCTATATTAAGAAATATTTTTCTTAGATTTTATATCAAAGATCGAAAAAACAAAAAAAAAAAGTAAATTCTGCATCAGTTTTTTTTGTCGTCTTCTTTTAATCATGATTATAGGACTTAGAATAAACAAGTTTGTTTATTTTGATTTATTCTGTATGAATTAAAATACAAAATCATTTTTATCTTTATTAAATAATTGTTTTTTGTTTGCAAAATACTTCACATTGGCAAGGTTGATAGAGTTCTTATTAGATTTTTACTTTCGATCAAGGATATAATACATCACAAATAACTTGAATTGAAAGTAAAAATTTCACACTTATTAGAAACAATAATAACTGAACTAACGTCATCATCGATCAATAACGTTTTCTATTTTCTTTTAGTTCTTTTAAAATAAAAAACAAATAAGAAAATATGTTTAGTGGTGTTATTGTTGCTTTTTTTTGTTGAAGGATAAAAAATACACTTTACGTTAATGTATTGAAATTTAACTGTAGTTTCAATATTAGTAACAAAATAAAAATTTTTTTCTTCTTCTAAAGAAATCGATCTTTTTGCTAGATTATTTTTCTCTGCTAAAACTTGATAATTCAATATATTTCGATTAAATATGATAAAAATGAATACAATTTATGCACATGATTTTTAGATATGATGCTTGTTGTAAGAATTTGATTGTTTAAGATATTGTAATCAAAGAAAATAGAATGAATTCAAGCAAAACTAATTTAATGAATATCAAAAGATCTTTTCATGCGTTATATTTTACTATGTTTTTTTCTATTAAAAATTTCATGAATATAATAACAAAAATACAGACCTTCAAGGTCTAAAAATGTTGAATGAAATTTTTTTTGTAAGAAGTATTGATCGAGAAGAGTTTGACGTTTGTGAACAGACTGTTATGACATATGTTATACGGTAAATAAATACTCAATGACGTATATTCTTACGTAAGAATATTAATGTATTGAAAAGATTAGAAATGTTCCGGTCTTTGAAAGTGACTAACAACATTTATCAAAAAAGAATGATATTCATTTATGATACAAGATAAAAACATTACAGATAACTATCGTAATTATTTATCAATAATGTCATGACTGAAGCTCGACGTGTTTATATTTTTTTTCATTATTTATTTTCTATGACCTCTATTTGCACATAGATACACTGATTTAATTCAGTTAATAATAAGCGAGATATGTATGTGTTTTTATGTCTAGAATCAAATTTTAATCATGTCGGCTACTAATTGAACTGTGTTACTGGTGAGATTTGATAAAATTTCCCAAAAGATTCGACAATATTTGTATTGTTATTTTTACAAATATATCCATAACAAAGAAACTCATTTATAAATCAGTTACGTTCAGAAGTCTAAGATGTTTACAAACACTCCCACAATGATCAATACTAATTTTCCATAATCAATTCAGAAATAAAATTCGTTAATAACTTAATGAGAAACTATCCGTAAATGTTGTTTTTCTTATCATCGATTTTAAATAAACAATTAATATTAACCATTATCTTTCTTATTTCATATTTATAAACGATTCTATTCGATAGATAAATTCTTTCGAATTAATTCAATCAAACAAAAACTTATGAAATATCAATAAATGAAAGTATATATATATGTATATATTTTCAATAATAACAAATGGTTATATGACGAAAGAGTGTGAAACAGAAACAAATCAAAAAATCCTTATACACGAAAGAAAATTAAACGTATGGCACTGATGGTTCTACTTGCGTAATAATTTCGATAACATCGTCACTGGAATCATCCATAGCAGTATCATTAGTTTTATTACTGATGTCTTCTTTCAATTCTGTTTTTATTCTTTTTTTTTGATATAATTTTGAATGAAAATCTTTAATACATGATGACATATGTTCATATTGTTTTTTCATATGTAAATATTGATTATTTAATTCTTTAAAACGTATATCAAATTGTTGTTCACGTGAATTTAATTTTGCATTAAGTATAGCATTTTCCGTTTGACATTTGCCTAGAAAGAATAAATAATCGAATATTCATTTTGTTTGGTTTTAAAATAACCTAAATCAATTTGTGCTTGTTCTAAACAATCTTTAACTGTTTGCATTTCAAGTAAATGATTTGCTACATTCATTTGTCGTGCATTACAATCAATTGGTTCATCTTTGACTTTATCTTGTTCTGTTAATGGAGTTGATGAAATTTGTTTTAATCGAGATTCATATGATTCAACCATAGCTGTGTATTCTACTTTAAGTTGATTTGTATGTGCTTGTTCAGCTTCTGTAAATTAATAATAAAATTAAGAGATATTCTTTCTCTCTCGATATTTAAATAATTTAATTACCAAATTTTTCACGTAAAATTTGAAATGTATCGTATGCAGTTTTCGAATAAGCCTGTGCTTCAGCTAATGATTTTTGAAGACTAGCTATTTCATATTTAAGTGCTGAATTTTCCTGTATTAATTGATCGTAATGCATTGATGGTTGTGTATTATTCGGTAAATTTTGATTTTGTTGATTTACTGGCATTAAATTTGATGATGAAAATTGTGTTGATGGAGGCTTACTTCTATCTTCATGATAACCACGTATTCCAACATGTGTTCCATTTATAGTATGATGACGATGATTAAGAATATTAACAACACTTGATGCATCAGAAAACTTGATAAGAGCATCTAAAAATAAATTACAAAATCAAGCTTCACGCAAAACAAAAGTAAAATGATGTAATTGATACGAAATGAAACAGGAACTTTTAGAATATATTCCAACTTATCAGGATTAATGAGAGTAAAAACTTAACAAATGAGATGTGATACTTTACGCGACAGTTCACTGAAGGAGACATTCAGTACAAATCAACTATAGTCAGATATATTATTACTAATCTATCTATTATGAAATACAGAAAAGATTCATTGTCTTGGTACTTTGCCTTCACAACTAATCAGTGGTTTATCCAGCGGGGGGAGGGGGGGGGACACGGCGCTTTTTACCCTCTCGGAGGGTGCGCCTGCCCCCGGAATTGAGAAAAATTACGCTTTTTGAGTCTGAAACTCTGCTTTTGCCCCCCCCCCCCCCCCCGCAGTTAATTTCGCACCCTCGGACGAAAAAAGCTAGATAAAACACTGCAACTAATAGTTTCAAACGAAGTAATCATCTGATTGTTTTAAAATTTGAAAAACTATCTCAATACATATAGGCATGGCCAGTCATGTGATACCCTATTCATTTTTCTACAATTACAAGGCAGAAAAACATGAAATTTTTACCATAATCTGTAGTCAAAACGTAAATGAAACATCAGTGGCACTAGTCTATTTATAAATGATCATATAAAATGAAATAACATGTTCTACTATTTACTAGCGAGTTGAATGTTTATCTAAGTTCGTGTTACATAGAGCGGAAACAACCTGTGTGATTTACATCTTTCTCTCGGTGATGTAAACTACGATTTGAAATTGATTATATAAGTGAGTGTCAAAAATCTTCTTGTCTAACGTGATATATATATCGGATAATGAATAATCGTTAGCACGATATGTGCACTATATATGGTAAAAATTTCACGTTTTTCTGCCTTGTAATTGTAGAAAAATGAATAGGGGTATCACATGACTGGTCATGCCTATATAATAAATATACGTACAATCTTTTACAAACCGTAGTAAATACAATACGTGATACAGATAAAAGAAAGTATGTAATATTTATTTTAGAATGTTTATATAGATTTTGAGTGCATTTATTAAAAATAGAGTTAACCGTATTTTTATCATGTGTACGAATATTAGGAAAAGAATGTGTTAGTTATTATAAAATTTACTGATGAGGAATAGATATCTATATATGAACTTGATAATAGTGTACTTACAAGGATCTTTTTTTGGACTTTGTGAAGAATTTTTAATATAACATCGAAGAACTTTGCCGAAATTTTGACAATAAGCTGTTAATACAGATTCCGATAGATTATTTATTTTAGTAATAACAATTGTTGATTCACGATCAAAAAACATATCTATTAGAGAAAGAATTAAAAAAAACACAAATTTTATTTGAAAAATCAATGATTCATACATAGTTAAACAAAAGATATAAGCGAAGAAAAAGTTCAACATTATATACAAGATTATCTGTATTTATTCTAGTCTTTTTTTTTTCTTTCTCTGGTGTATAACACGTGGTCACTTACTAAGCTTTGTCATATTTATTCAAAAGAATAAATTATTTGAAAAATGGAATATATTTAATCAGTGATAGGCATATCAAAAGATTAAATGTTCGAATACAACTAATTTTACTAGAATTTTTACTCGTGTGTAAGTACTATGTATAAGGAAGTGCTTTTATTAATAAAGGCATGACATATGTGATGAAATACCTTCACAAATATAATCAATGACGGTATTAGTTAAGTTACAATCAAAGTTCGCTATCCATATGTTACTTCCTATCTTTATAAACTGTTGAGAAAAAAAATGAAATAAAATAAACGTATAGAAGAATATTGTAAACGAACAGAGCGTGTTGTTACAATTTAATAGGTTGACAAAATTTCTTCCCGTTTTTTTTTAGCCTTTACTCATCTGCTTATATATCAGATCGAAAAAAGAAAGATGCATTTTCGACTATGAGTGGCATCTATTAATTTTATTGTCATATGTTTAGAGAATAAATCAATATACATACTAAAAATCATAAATAATCATTCATTATAAAATATCTGTTAGTATTTAACAGATTATGCCTCAGGAAAAATAAATATAGTCACATGTTTTTTTTATTGAAAATTGACTTTATTCGATACAAATAAAAAATCTTAAGTTTTATAATTGATTACACGACATTTCTGCACGTGGTACTAACGCGCCAAAACTTAAGCCTAACGGAATTCATAATATAAATCAATTACTGAATAATTCAGAGATTTCTATATGTTCTTAAAGAACGGTTTTTTTTAAAATTTTACCTCTTTTCTGATTAAATTGATTGAAACCAAAAGAGACAGCCGTTTCTCACTTGAGATGTACTCCGCGTATGTCTCACCTTCAACCTCACTTTTTAAAATTGAACACGCTAGTAACCATATGTGCACATAAATGTCATGTCACGGTAATGATTCACGTATAGAGCATGTCTAAATTGTAATCTATAAATTTTTTCTTCTATTTCGAGATATGTCACACAATAATGATAATATATTTAATTATTTTTTTATTATATTACTTATTCATCTGTCTACAATTTCACTCTTCAGTATTATTAGAAGTTTAATTATTGATGGTTTCTTTTTAAATAGTAGTTCATATCACGATTGAAGTTATTACGCAAAATAATTGATCGATGAAAATTTATATTTAGAATAACTTACGTCATGATGAACCTTATCATCGAAAACTAAATCATTTCAATGAAAACAATTGCTTACTTGTATACAGGGGGAGGGGGACTTGAATACCATACAGCACACAAATACAGATAGTTGTTTAAATTTGATTGTATTGAATATGAATTTTTTTAAATCGGGGGGGCGTAATATAAACAAATCACAGGAGCAGGGGGAGGTGTTACGCATCACGTGTCTTCCCCTTCTTTCGATATTTCGAGAGTAAACACTTCTAATATTTGATGAATATTTTCAAAGCTCATTGTAATCTAACACCATCTATAGGTTGTTGAAGAAATCAAAAATAGAAACAAATAAGCTACTCAAATATAGATGTACTGAAATGAATTAGTTTTCTTCTGTTTATTTGTTCAATAGAGATTATTTATTACAACTGGTTGATATTAGTATATACACATAGAACTCGTGTCTATATTCAATACTTTATTCGTTAGAATACAAGTTTAGTTAATACACTATTATTAACGTTTTCAAAAGAAATTATCTATTCGACAATACATAACACCAATACATATTTTTCTTTTTCTTTAACCTGGATAATGACGTTCTTGGCTTTTATATTTACCTGATCTGTCATACGGAATCTTGTGTATATATAAAAAGCAATGAAAAATCGTATTTCAATATCATCTAAACTTGAAACATTTCCTAATGAAATATTCTTTGAAATCTTTGATCGTCTTTTACCAAGTGATTTATATCAAGCATTTTATGGACTTAATACTCGTTTAAATACAATATTAAACGATTCTCGTATGCGTTTTCGTGATAATATATCATCTCTTAATTCAAAAGAATTTCATTCTTATATTCAAAATATTCTTCCTCAAATTCTAAATCGTCTAGTTTCATTTACATTTGGAACATATGATACTGATGAGGTTCGATTAAAATAAAATAACTACTAGACAATTATCTCTATTTTTCTATGATTTTAGTACCAACAAGCAAGTTGTTTTTTACATACATATTCTATTGATTTAACACATTTTCAACATCTTCGTACGTTAGTTATTATTAAAATGACAATATCTGATGTACAAATTATACAATCAGCAGTGATTCGTCTCATTCATCTTGTTAATCTACGTTTATCAGTTGATAGTAATGATGTTGGAAGATTATCAGTTGTGAATATTACAAATGATTTATTACTTGGTTCTCGATTAAAACATGTTAAAATGGATATGTGTGCTCGAATAGTATTTGAAAATATCAATCAAATATCTAATATAGAACAATTATCAATTGTATGGTGTCAATTACAAGAATTAACACATTTACTTCAATATACACCTCAATTATATACACTTAAAGCAACAGTTTCTGGATTAAACAATTCACAAAATTGGATTGAAAAATTTCCTATAAATTTTACTCAACAATATAATCTTCGTTTACGTTCACTTAAATTAGTTATTGATTCAATTTTATTTGATCATCTTCTATTATTTCTTCAACAATTAACTGAATTACGATCACTTTGGTTATTATTAAATCATTATGAATATATGAATGTTGATAAATGGGAAAATCTTTTTAAATCATCTTTAGTAAAATTAGATCAACTTGATTTAACAATTGCATTAATGAAACCAATTCTACCAGTACAAACAATTTTATTTTCAACACCATCTTTAATATGTGAAAAATTTAATACGAAATTTTGGTTTGATCGAGGATGGTGTGCTAAACTTCATGAATATGACCATTGTATACGATTAATTGTATTAAATAATATGATATCGACAATAAAAAGACTTAAACGACAATAAATATTATAATGTATAAAGTTTTATATGTCAGATTAGTTTATTTTCTTTTTTCTATATATATATTAGATTGAACTAATTTTACTTTTTATGGATTATTGAATGATCTATTATATTTTAATAAAATTTAGAATTGTTTTTCACGAAATAATTTACAATTATAGAAAGAGTAAATAACGAGCATGCTATAGAAATAAAGAAATTCGTTACGATTCAATTTTCTCAGAAAACTTCTTCGAAATATGCACATGTCCGAAGAGTTAACTTTTAATAAATAATCTTTTATCATTCTCTTTCTTGTGTCACCACATAATTAGCCGTTTTTCTGACGGTCATGTGAGGAGGATCCCTCTGTCCTTTTATATACGGAAGTGATCGGAGTCTTGCAATGCATGATATATCATATGAAAAAAACTGATACAAAAGAATACACGAGTTCACTCAACCAGGTGAACTCTTTAAATGATGATTTTGATAGAAAAGTTTTGTATGATCTATAATCGTTGATATACTATTTGAGAATCTAAAACTTAATCCAAGTCAATAATTAACGAGTCGTTCGAAGTGAAAAATCGAAGAAAAGTAAAGATCTGTGTGTAATGATCACAGACGTTACAGTAAAGAAAATTAAAATTTTTTGTCTTGATTGTTTTAATGGGAAACATTGTACTATGTAATAAATAATTAAATAGTAACAAGATGACATTTTTTGTGTAGCGTCTGATTTGGAAAAAAAAATTTTCTAGTGAGTTTTTTATGCAATAAAATAGGCCCCGTCGTATCGAATATGTTAAACAGAATTATAACAAGAAAACCTATCTTTTATCGACTCTTATCTTACAATAACTAGTAAATAAATGAAATATTTATCTTGCATTTCATCATACACATAAAAGAAGTACTCCAATATGAATCCATGATAATATGAACTTGCAGTTTCATGTATTTGAGTTTGATGACACGTTTATATGAAATCAAATTTCATTTATTTTGGTCTAAGTTTGAATGAATCTGATCTGGTAAAGAAATTCTCCTTTTCTATTTATTTATTCGATGAATATCACTATTTTACCTTTGTTAACACAATTCATAAGATAAATTCCTTCACTTTATTTTCATACTCTTCATCTCAAACAGAGACCATCTTTTTTTCTTTTGCGTTGTGTTAATATTTATAAAAGATATCAAATATATTTATATCATTATCAAAGATTACTTCGTCTATATATTAAAAAAGAAACCAAAAAAAAAAATATAATTCATTGATATACAATAAATTAAAGAATTTTTCTTAAAGTCTCCAAATATAAAACATTTAATTTAGTACGTATTAAAAAGAAGATGCCCAATATAACCGGAAACGCTAAAGGAATAATTATTACCCATAAAGATCGAACATGATTGATAAGTGATAATGTAAGTAAAATTTCAACAAAAATAATCCATCCTACGCTTGCATACCAAGAAAAAGTGTTCATAGGTGCTCGTCTGGTTGTCGGTATTGGTGATTTATTTGTTGTAACTTTTTGATAAATAATATCACTGCCATCAATTGATTCAACATCATCATTATGATACATTTCCGAATCTTTTTCTATATTTCGTGTTTCTCCAGATTCAAGATCATGTAAAATATCAACACCCGGTGTAAGAACTGTATGATCCGAACGAGATATTATATGTATATCTGCATCAACATAAACTATACTCTGTAGTAAAATATATAAATCAAATGAACAACAATAATAAATTGAAATCGAATGTATCAATGAATTTGTTGTTATAACAATATAATAAAATAAAAATATATCACTTAATAATAATAATATTATAGCAAATTCTGATAACGCTTTTGTAGTTCGTAAGAAAGAATTGAGTAAAATCTAATAAAAATAAAATTATTATTACGAAATATCGGATTTTTGTGACTTACTTGTGGTAATATATGTGCAGCAAGTAATATATAACCAATATTTATTAATAAATTCTTTTGTTTTGTAAGAAGAAATATCATACTTCCACCCACAAAACATATAAATAAACTAAATAGAATTAATTTAAGTTTATTTTGTCGACCAAGATTATTTGAATAATTAATAATTTGTAAGAATATTCCAAATGTTGATAAAATTGCAATGAATTCAAAAACTACTGTCCATTTCATTGTATTTGCTACGATTAATAAAGTTAAAGCAAGTATTCGAATTATTATCCATATATAACTAATGCCAGCTATATATCGTCGACCATATTTGAATAAATGAATAATTTGTGGTAAAAGAGATAATGCTAATAGAAAATAAGTCAAACCATGAATCAATGAAATAAATCGACAATTTGATATTGAAAGTTTTTTTAAATTAAATGAACAAGATGCATTTATTGTTGGTATGAGAATAGTTGTTGTATCTAACATAGTAATTATTTTTCTATAAATAGAAATATACGAAAAAATAATTTTATAACAAGAATGAATTTATCTGTTGACTATCTTGATATTTATAATGTTGAATTATATCAACATGACAGTTGAGTCATATCGTCTAATATTTGTAATAGAATGAAAGAGTTTATCTTGATTCTTTCTGATGGATGGGTAATAAAAAAAAAGGGAGTTTCTTTTTTTTCCGTTAGTCATAATGATGTTCGGTTTGCTACTACCGAGTTATATGTTCTGTTATCGAACGTATCAACAACTGCTATCGATATAAGTGTTACACGAGAGAAACATAGAGTTTTAGTATTATCAAGTGATCATGTTCGTGACTGAATGAATTATAAGACAAAGGTAATATATCATCGTACTCTGCTGAATTGTATCATATCTCAGTTAACATATGAGCAAGTGTCCGACATCTGATATATCCACGAATGGATAGTATAGAATTCTTAATATCATGTAGTAGAGTATTACTGATCGATGGACATATGTTTCTTATTCTACATCAGTAAGTTCGTAAACTATAACTTGGTATATTAAATTACAAAAGTGCTTTTTTTTATAAGCAGCAATAATTGTAAATATTTCTTTATTGAGTCGTACAAATAATATTATCTTAGTTGATTGGATGAAGTTATCAATTTGTGAGTAGAGATTAAATAACGATTAGTGGCGGACTTAGGAGGGTGATCGCTCCCCTTTCCGAATTTTTTTTTCGATTTTTTACAGCAAAAATGAACGAAAAAATAGATTCACACTACTTCGATTGGACTCAAAAAATAGCTTTTAGCCAAAATCGCCCCTCCCCCTCCTCAGGTATCGTCCCTCCATACTCAAAAAAAATGGCCCCCCCTTCTAAAATCCTGAATCCGCCACTGATAACGATATACAAACTAGTATGTGAGTATTTTAATTTGTTGGATGAGAACTACTACATCGAAAGTAGAAAAAAAGATATAAGGTGCACTTCATCATTCAGTGTTAGCTATTAACAATACTATCAGGTGTCTTCTATTTATTCTTACATGATATATATTCAATTTTAATCGGGTGAATACGAAGGATATGAATATAAATTGTATAAGTTGTTTTTCAGACTTATTAATCATGAATAATATCTTCTTGATAAATGAATGTTAAACTCGTTCTAAATTTAATTCAGATGAGGCTAGTAGGACATAAGACAAGTAAAAAGCTTCACTACCGTTAAACATATAACCATTGATTTTTCATTGTTATACTGTATTTAGATAATAGATAACGTCGAGAATATAGTCCTTAAGTAATCAATGTTTCTCAATTCAATACAAATTTGAAAATAAATCGTATGTAAATTTTTACTTCTGAATATAATTAATATTTTATCATTTCAAGGAGTTTCTCAATTATATTAACAAATCCAATGCTTTTAAAATAATGGTTCAGACATAACATTAATAATGAATATGCTAATGTAGTTTCAATTTAATTAAAGAAAAGATGCGATATACTCATTAAATTAGAATTTCAAATTTATAGCATTGGTCAATTTAAATTCTTGAAATAAAAATATCCTCTTAAATGTGGCATTATTACTGATTGATTAATAATAAAACAAAAAAAACATATTTTATTATTTATTAAAAACTCAAAAAAATACATTTCGCACACTCTTAGAAATATATAAGAAAAAAAATGAACACATGCATTCAATTCTTTTGAAAATAGACAAGTTTATTTATTTGATTTTTCTTCTATTAATGATGTACATCGGCTCCTATATTCAGCATTTTAGGCGGTATTGATCTGGTCGCCTCTAACGGTGGATGTTGTTGTTGATGTACAATTGGTGGATGGTGTTGCTGTGGAATCGGTGCATGATGTTGCTGTTGTGGAATTGGCGCATGTTGCTGCTGTTGTGGGATTGGTGCATGATGTTGCTGTTGTGGAATTGGTGGTTGATTCATTGATGTATTATTATCAGGATGAAGATTTAAAGTAGTATGTGGACTATTATGAATAGGTGGATTTTGTGGAGCAACGCTTGTCGCTGGTCTAAAAAAGAATATCTTTAGAATTGTATTTTAGATAAAAAATTTCGTTCATACTTGATAGGTTCAAGTCGAAGTGGAATTCCTCGTTTTGATTGACGGAGAGTAGAATTACTTTGTGATGTATTTAAATTATTTCCTGTAGGTACAACAGTTCCAACAGGTCCTAATGGTAATTGAGAAGGTTGACCAGTAAGCGGTGCTAATTTTACTGGACGGAAATTTCTTGGTTGAACACGATTTGTAAGAGACGCTGATTTTCCTGTGCCAGTATCACCAGGTTTGCCAGTAATATCAGCTCGACGTATAGGTTTCTTACCTCCTCCTCGTTTTTTATGTCTTTTTTTCAAGAGACAAAATAAAAATATGAGAAGAGCAAGTAATATTAAAAATCCGATGATCCCAACAACTAGACCAACAATTAATCCAGTACGACGTGAATCTGATCCATCACTCGATTGAACCGCCACAGTATTATTTGAATTACCCTAAAATATAATAAATAGTAGAGAAAAACATAAATTTTTATATTAATTAATACAAAATATTATCTAGCTGATTGTTTAGTTTATATTAGTCGAATTATTAGAATATTTGTACACACATAAGACAAACGAGAGATTAATTAAATGAAGCAAAATAAGACACAAGATATATTATTTCGAACATATAACAAAGTATATTTATATATATATATATATGTGTTACTAGGGATTGGAAGGTTATGATGATGTATCATCACTTACATCTGGAGCAGCCGTGGTATTGGTTGTTGTTGTTGTATTACTAATAGTAGAATTTGTGTTTGAGGATGTGGTATTACTAGTAGTCGAATTTGTATTTGAGGATGTCGTGTTACTAGTAGTGGAATTTGTGCTTGAGGCTGTCGTATTACTAGTAGTAGCGATTGTTGTTGAGGATGTGTTATTACTAGTAGTAGAATTTGTG